CAACAAATCATCATTCTCATCATCCTCATCATCATCATCAGTATCATCCTCCTCCTCCTCATCATCATCCTCATCATCATCATCATCAGTATCATCCTCCTCCTCCTCATCATCATCCTCATCATCATCATCATCATCATCATCATCATCATCATCATCATCATCATCATCATCATCATCATCATCATCATCATCATCATCAACAACAACATCATCATCATCATCATCATCATCATCATCATCATCATCATCATCATCATCATCATCATCATCATCATCATCATCATCCTCTTCCTTCTGCTCTTCTTCCCTAGTTCCCCTTTCTTCGCTCAACCGTTAACCGACCGTTGTAAGGCCAATTGTGCCCTCATCTCCACTCAGCCCCACTTGATCGGCTGTCAAGTCAGGTCGCCCGAAATAGAGCTCCTGAGGCAGCCATGGCGGACGAGGAGGAAGGAAGGTAAGCGACGATGAGATGCTGGGGAGAGAAAGTGATGGAGGCGAGCGAGGCAGGAGGAAGAGATCAAGAGAAGTGCTAAGGAGAGCAGCACTCTGTGATTATGTGACTGATATTGGGACCATACAGGCTGCCTGAGGAGACGGGGAGTGCACGGGTGGATTCGTGGAGATCAGTCGCCATGCTGTCATTCGGTCTGCTTGCGACCGCCTTGGTCATCACTGCGATCTCTCCAAGAGGAGAGCTCGACTCTCCCTTGCGAACCAGTATGTCAGCCTCGAAACTGTGGGCTGACGAGAACTCAGGTTCACATGTTTCAATGATGGATATCATCTCTTGGTAGCCTGACCATTGCCTTCTCAGCTCCGTTGGGAACATGGCAGCACGAGCTGAGCAACATGCCGGCCTTCCCAGCAAACCCGCAAGCGTACGCTCGATATGATCCTCGCTATATGGGTAAGACCGCTGAGCTGCTTTCGAGCCATGCAGATAACGATTTTCTCTCAGCTTACCAGCGATTGAATGCTAAGGTACAGCGAGGAACCTGTCTCATAGTCCTTGTCGCTCATGTTGAACCATGAGTTGCAGGCCAATGGTCCCTATACGTCATACCCAACCTTGCAGCAAGGACCCCCTCCCGCCAATGCTTGTGATGAGCAATGCAAAGCGACAGTGAGATACTTGATTGCACCTGAAACCATCAAGATCTCTCACACAAGACATTCAACAGTTTGAAGTCGAGAAAGATGAGATCAAGAAGGTCTATGCTGACGACATCCAGTCAGCACAAGCCCAGTGCTTGGCGATTAGAGTCCTTTTCGAATGTCAGTGCAACAGCTGCGGTCAAGACTTCAGGCCGGGGCAGGTGCAGCAGCAGCACACAACTTCTAGAGTCGAGGGCTGAACAACTCACGGGTTGCGTAGATGCTCCAGCAGGATCTCTGCAAGCCGGACATGACCAGCAAGCTCCATGAGGCTGGTGGCCCTTGCACAGGTAACTTGACAAGTTTAAGTCGGAACGTCTCCGAATCACCGACCGTTGCCACAGGCTTCACAAGCTCCTTCTGTCAGAAGCCCTTCGGCGAAGAGTTCTGCCAGCAGAGAACGTGGATGCCCGATCAGGGCTCGCAAGCCTGGCTGCAGACCCACAAGGTTCGATCCCTCCCTCACTCCCTCCCCTCCCTACCTTCCCTCCCTCCTCTTCCCCTCATATCACCGCAGGTCATGGACCCCGGGAACACAAGCGGCACTGCAGGAGAAAACCTCTTCAGCTCTCAGCTGCCCCAGTACAGTCAGGTGAGTGAAAGACCATCCCTTTCCTGTGCTCACAGCCTGCAGTCCGTCGCCGACAGCCTTGCCAAGTACCTGGCAGCCGGTGCTGCCGAGAAGTCAGCAGAGAGCAGATTCAAGTAGATGCTCGCGATGAGAGATCGGCTGCTGACCCTCTCCTTCCAGCAACCTGGTGGCTGAGGAGGTGGAAGCGCTTCAACCAGTGAGGAAGCAGGGAGGGATTCAGATCTTCAACCTTCCTCTCTTCCAGTCGACGGCGGAGAGCGATAAGGCAGGGAAGTGCCGATGGTGGCACGTGAGTGACGAGGCTGCTGCAGGAGATCGAGGACACGGATCACAAGCTGCAGAAGGAACTGTTCGGCAAGCAGCTCTCACAGTCAGATGCTCATCAGTATGACTGTCGCCAGTGCTTGTCTCACGTGCTCCTGACGTCTTCGCCCCTCAGGTACGGCCAGTCCATCAAGGATCTTCTCAAGCAGTACTCCAAGAAGGGGATCGTCCTCCCCGCGAGCCTGGTATTAGGAGGAGGAAGGGAAGTAGAGTACTGACTGAATTGCAGCAACAAGACCTGCGGGACCTGGAGGTAGCCTCGGCCAAGTACAACGCATGAGGATAGAAAGCGCTTTTTCACTGTTATGTTTACATTTATCTGCTCTCTGACAAGCTCCTGCTCCCCCGTCTTCTCTCACTCCTCTCTCACTCTCACACTCTCACTCCCTCTGAGCTTGTCTCCCACCCGCTCGCCTTCAGTGCGGCTGCTTGGGCAGGTCGAGGTTGGAGGTTATCTTAACGTCCAGGACGGACATGAAGACTAGCCGCAGGCTCAGTGAGATGGTGGCGAGGATGGCGACGAGGGTCAGAAGCATCTCAACCATGACTGAGAGGTTCCCTGCTCTGCTCTTCTCCCTCACTCGCTCTGCCAGCATCTGCAGCTTCTCCCGCAGCCCCTTCAAGGACGGAGTGAGTCCCTTCTTCAGCGGCTGCATGTCGTACGAGTACCAGCAAGTCTGCGGGGAGGGTGAGGGAGGAAAAAGCGTCTTGTCGCCTCACCTGCCATCGGGGGTCGTTGTTGCAGTGCCGGAGCAGGTTGCACACGGCGTTTTCGATCATGTGGCAGCCCAGGGGTCCCATCTGGTCGGTGCTGCATGTGATGGTCTGCACCAGCCCCGCGTGCGAGTCGAAGAGGCGGCCGATGAAGTCGTTCTCCGCCAGCACCGTCACCGTCCGGTTGTGCGCAGCATGCAGCATCTGCCTCCTCTCCTCTCCGTGCCAGTGCAGGTGCTTGGCAAGGGACTTGTACACCCCCGGAGGGTTGAAGGCCACGGCCGGCAGGTTGAGCAGCGCAGCTACTACATGAGCAATTCCCCCGCCGAGGGAGTGGCCGGTGAGAACTACCTGATGGCCCGGAGGCGTTCGAGGGAGAACTCGATGGCGGATGTGACGGACGAGGCGATTGTACTTGTACTGCAAGCAAGGTGAGCAGGGAGATGAATGGTGGAGGAGGTTTGCGGGTTGAGGGGGAAAGAGGAAGGCGAGGAAGGGAAGGGGAGAGAGAGCGGTGGATGAAGAGAAGAGAGAAGGATTGAGGAGGTGAGAAAGGGATAGGAAGGGAGCGGAGGAGGAAGGGAAGGTACCTCTGAGTCTGGAAGTCCGATCGCCTTCAGAAGGCTCTGGAAATCTGGTAAGAAGGAAGAGAGGGAGGGAAGAGAGTCGGCAAGGGGAGTGGAGGCAGATTGAAGGAGAAGAGAAACAAGGGAAGGGACTGCAAATAAGGCAACGGATGCCGAGGAGCAGGTCAGGAAGACAGACAAGCTGGGCACTTGCCTGGTATGTGTCCGTCACCATCGCGGTGGCTTGCGGGGACCAGATGTTGATGGTGGGGAAGACGTTGGAGAGGAGAGTGAAGACTGCGGTAGCGTGACAGAGCTCAAGGAGGAGGAGGCGGTCAGACCTGCTGGCTCGGTCCACATGCGCACGTCCTCGAGCCAGTCACTGAGCCTCCAAAACTCTGTGCCGCGAACGGAGATGACAGTCAAGTTTCTTTCCTCGAAGACAACCTGGCAGCCCCTCCCTGTCATGACCTTCCCCCCTCCCCGCTCCTCTCACCTCCGTCCAGAACTTCTGGGACGGGTCGACTCCTTCATGCTGATCGACGTGCCGAGGAAGCTTCGAGTTCCTGCACGTGTCGAACGCGTCTTCGAGCTTCCTGCGCGGCCATCAGGGGCTGCGGTCACGGTGGAGGAGCATACTTGTCATGAAGACTGGTGCAGCTCTGCTGAGGAAAGAAAGCAGATAGGACGGCGTCGACCTGTAGGGAGCTGCTAAGGAGTAGCTGGGAGCAGGGTAGACAAGCGCAACGGAAGAGGCAGGAGGAGGAGGAAGGGAGGAGGAAAGGAGGGAGAGAACGAAGGAAGGGGAGAACCAACGGACGAGTTTCTGACCTCCTTTGGGCCGAAGTAAGCAGCGAGGGAGAGGAGCCCGTAGTCGATGGCTCTCATACCCCAGAACTCGTTGTTGCAGATCGCGTACTCGGGTAGACCCACATAGGATGCGTGGGGGCCGGGAGACAGTCGCTTGCTGAGGGTGAGGGTACCTGTCAGCCAGGTGAGCGACTGCAGGGCTCGACCGCCGGTGACCGAAGTCGTGAAAGATCTTGGTGGAGTTGTCGGAAACTTTGTCGAGAGCTATGAAAGCGTTTGCGGGGAACCAGCCCTGCAGGGTGTCAGCTGTTGTTTCCCTCTCCTCCTCGTCCTCCTTTTCCTCTGACCTGGTCGACCTGGATAGCAGAGAGAATGCCTAGCATGGCCAGGAAGCACCAGAAGCCCAACGCTATGAGCAGAAAGACGTGCGCGATCTGTCCTCCCAGCTTCCTCTCGTACCCGTTGGCCATGCGCGGTTCCGTGGCAGCGGAGGCACTGTGCTGCTGAGAGTCGAAGAGGAGACGAGACTTGCGGAAGCCCTGGATGAGTTTGGAGGAGGAGGCGGTTCGGTCCACCAGGAAGCCTTCGAGGTGGAGGGTTACAAAGACTACGATGCCCCAAGCTTCGACCCCCAGCAGCTTCGAGCCCAAAGAGGAGAGGACGGGGGTCAAGGAGACGAGGGCGAGGTCATGGTAGGAGAGGACCAGGGAGCAGTAGACGGAGACCCAGATGACGACCAGGAGGATGGGGTACTCGAGGGAGATGAGGATAAGATCGTTCTGAGAGAAGGTGAAGCCCATCCTGGCCGACAGGACCCCCCGGATGAAGTGAAGTACCTCGCACGACACCAGCATGAACTTGAACCTCAGCGTCTGCCGGCACCAGAGCTTCGAGTCCTTGAACATCTCCTTCTGCAGGCCCGCCTCCTTGAGGTCTTTGAGGGGGAGGCGCAGGATCTCCGAGGAGGCGAAGAGGAAGATGCCCGTCCAGGCGATGACGAGGATGTTGTCGATGGTCGTGTGGGAGAGGCCAGGGAAGATCCTTGAAGGCTCGCCGGGATGGAGGGTCCACTCCATCAGGCGAGCGCCGGAGGGGATTCCGACGAAGATGAAGAAGGACTTGAGGACGGCAGCGCCTCTGAGCTTGTTCAAGGTCCTGTACCACCTCGGAAAGATAGCGTGGAACGTCTGTGCCCACTGCAGCAGCCCTATGAAGAGGGTGAACCTCAGAGTACGGGAGAGTCTCGACGAGGGTCTTGCGAGCAACTCAAGGATCCAAGGAGACTCTTTCTCCCGGCAGAAGACATCAGCACATATCTGAAGTGCGGAGAGCAGGACTGACACGATGAAGATCACGAGTAGCGGGATCAGCAGACACTTGTACTGGACCCTCCCTAGCAGGGCCCTCGCACTCCCGTCCTTGCTGGGTTCCTGTTCCTGTCGCTTCTCCTCCCCGAAGACCTCGTGGAAGTAGATCTTGGGGTTCAGCAGAATGCGTGCTCCTGGGAAGTCCCCGTACATCTCCCAGCCCACTTCAAAGAGAGACTTGGCGAGGATCCAGAATATGTCCATCACACAGTAGTAGATGTAGACAAACACAAGGATCCTCCATACCGGCTCAGCACAAGTCGAGCTCGTCAGCTGGTGGTCAAACCAGCAGTTCTCGATGTGATTGACCGTCTTGGTGCATAAGACTGCAACGGCAATGGCCAAGAACCCCCACAGGAGCGCGAGGGTTTGAGCGAAGATGTATAGCGCCGCTCCTGATACCACTGAGCCGCAGTAGGGCAGAAAATCGCACAACAAGTCAGGGATGCGGATGAAGAAGATCTCAAACAGTCCAGCTGTCATCCAGCAAGCGGACGAGATAGGATCGAACTCGCGGAAAAAAGTTCTTACATCGAAGTCTACGTATGACAAAGAGGAGAGGTCAGGGACTGGCGAAGCAAAGTTGTTGGTGAGAAGTTCGTTGACTGAGTTTGAGGATGAGTTGTGCTTCGATATGATAGAATCCCCGCTGTTTGTGCGTTCCATCTGGTCGCCTTCAACAAACATCATGGCGCCGTTCCAGATTCTTAGCAGAGTTATTTGGTTTCGCAATTCCCGAGTGCTTTCCCCCTCATAAAAGCATGTGGTGCTATTTCATCTGCACATATTCAAGGCATCAATAAACAATCTACAATTGATGAGAAGCATCGCATCTACCTCACTCAATTCTCTCTCCCAAGTCACAACCATTACCAGTCTACACGACCTCTAGGCAAAGTCACTGACACTTGACCACACAAAACAACCAAGAAAAGAAAACGAATATCATCTATCCAGGATATTCTTATTCAAATTATCTCACTCCATCCCTCTCTCCTCTCCCCTCCCCTCCCCTCCTCTCCTCTCCTCTCCTCTCCTCTCCTCTCCTCTCTCCTCTCCTCTCCTCTCCTCTCCTCTCCTCTCCTCGCCTCGCCTCGCCTCTCCTCTCCTCTCCTCTCCTCTCCTCTCCTCTCCTCTCCTCTCCTCTCCTCTCCTCTCCCTCCTCTCCATTCTCTCACATTGCGACTATTTGAGGAGACTCATCAAGTCCGCATCATTCCTCTAAATTCGAGTGTAGGAGCAATTTGCTGTCTCAAAGACAGTCATTTCTTTCCTCTGAGGCGAGTTTGCATTGCCTACCTCTAAATTTCAATCAAGTATGGGTCTAGATCGTCTATCAGCTGCACTGAAGTTTATTCTGCATTTGCCTCTCAGGACGTGACGTAGCATCACACAGGATTAAAGGAAAACAAACAGGGTCAAGAGAGTTCAGAGACAACACGAAGAGAGGTTGTGGGAGGTTTGACTATACAAGAGCTTCACATGGGCGAGAAGCTGGTTTGCTTCGGACGTCGCGCACTGTCGCTCATTCGGTTCCAATGCTATACAAGTGCTCAACCTGGTGGCCTGCAGACAAGCAGTCACGGGTGAGGAGGAGAGCAGCAGCAGCAGCAGCAGCAGCAGCAGCAGCAGCAGCAGCAGCAGCAGCAGCAGCAGCAGCAGCAGCAGCAGCAGCAGCAGCAGCAGCAGCAGCAGCAGCAGCAGCAGCAGCAGCAGCACCGGTCATGATCGAGTGAATGGCTTCGGAGATGAGGGCAGCGCAGGAGACCTGCACGACCTTGGTGGTGTAGGAGCGAATGTCTGACACAACCTGCCGATGCTCAGTCTCCCACAAGCTCAGCGGCAACGCTTCTCACAGGAATGCTGTCAGACACGACGACGTAGTCGAGGTTTGATGCTTCGATCTTAAGAAGAGCCTTCCCTGCAACAACCGTTACGACGCCGTGCTGTCCGCGCGTAGCAGGATACCAGAGAAGACGCCATGGCTGGCAAAGGCGCCGACGCTCTGCAGGAGCAAGGGAGCTGGTCATTGCTCGAAACAAGGAGCAGCTCTGACTGACCTTGGCGCCAAGCTCGATCAGAGTCTCTGCTGCTGTACACACACGCGAGCCTGGGGTAGAGGTGAGGGGCAGCTGAAGCCACAAGAAACTGTCGAGGCGTCACCGGTGTCAATGATATCGTCCACGATGATGCAGTGCTTTCCCACGATATCTCCAACTAGGTTGACCACGATCGAGTTCGAGCTCTTCTGCCTTATCGTGATGGCCAGGGAAACATTCTCAATGCCTGAACAAACCTTTCAACTGAGTTGAGATTGCACCTTATGAACCACCTTGATCGATCAACAAGCCCATGAAGAACTTGGCTCTCGGGGTGCCATCAGCGTCGGGCGAAACGATTGTTATCTCTGCATCGCTTCCTAGTCTGTAAGTATGTAAAAGTTTGGTTTGAAACAATATTGGGACATTGCAGGAAAGAGCAAGGTCAAAAATCGACTCACTTGTTGTAGAAGTTTCGCATGAAGAATTCCGCCATGTCTTCAAACATAGACAGATTGTCCACGGGGCAGTGCTGGAATTGCCCTTGGATTTGAGCGGAGTGCAGATCCACTGACAATGACAACAAGTCAAGATAAGGAGAGCCGGTCGACCGTTACCCGCGAGAATACGGTCAACTCCACCTGCGCGCAGCCAATCAGCGCTCCACATCAAGACAAGAGACTCTCACACCGGCTTCTAGCAACATAGCAACATCAGAAGCAGCAATCGGCACTCGGGGTTTGGTCTTCTCGTCCTTGCAGCACGTAAGCGTGAAGAAGAAGAGCAGGCTAGTTGCCAGACCTGGCGCGCATAACCGTAGTAAGGAAGGATGGCGGTCACACGAGAGGCAGAAGCTCTGGAGAACAACGTCACTGAATTCCTGTAGAAGTGATACAATACCGTTTCATGCATCGGACAAGGAGAAACAGCTCCATCAAATGATCGTTGATAGTCCTTGGAAAGAGATAAGCACGGAGGGGCACAGGAAAGTCGCTTACCGATCTGAGGTTCTACCCGGACAGATGGACTGCAATACAAACACCTGAGGTGTGTCAATCATGATACACCTGCTTCAAGCCTGTACTACATGTGTGTTGCGAACAGATTCGCCTAATTTGATGCTGGTCGCAAAGCAACTGATCAGCACGAAGTGAAGCCGATTTAAGGTACTCCACCTGCATTCTCCATCGTTGAATCGATTGCATTCTGCTTCAGATATCGAGATGCTAAAAATTATGTTAGGGCTAATGTCTCTAAGGACTCTAACTGAACCCAAGTTGAGATGCAATCTTGTTAGCTAAAGCATAGTTGGAATTTCCTGAAGGGACGAAAGTTACGAGTTGTAATACAAACCTCTGCGCATCAACCTGCAACTATCTGGAACAGCTCGATACCGACGGGGGACCTGCACACCCTCGTCTGCCTTGAGATCATCTGAGAGGCAAGGAGAACCTTTCGAAGCTCAGGTTGTGCGCGTCAAGGAGCTTCGGGTCTCCTTCGAACTCAGCCTCTCTCTCATGATCCACCACTTGTAGCACCTGGGGGAGCACTCACACTCTTGGCAGTTCAACATCAAATCATTCTCACATTCTCATTGGAGCTCTTCCATAAGTGCCCGCGGGTAAGACCCTTGGTCATCTTCAGGGACGTATCTAAACCACTGTTAAGAGTTTGAAGCAGCAGCAGCAGCAGGGAGCATGGTGAATCGAACATCGTTCAAATCGTATTTCAAATCACGTTGATGTTTCACTATCTTCCTCAGCGTCATGCCGAGAATGTAGAGCTCTCGCTCCATTCATGACCCGACTCACTTTCAGTGTACTAACTTTGATCAACGAGCAGAGCTCGAACCGTTTCAGCCCCTTGCAGGAATGAACACTGACTGATCATACATGCGTCCTACATCACTAGTAAAACTTTTGGTCGTGGTTTTCTCTCCTCCTCATCTGTCCTCTCCAGGTCAAAACCTAGGAAGGCACCGGTGCTCGATTCACAACATGACTTTGTCGTGTTCGATCAAGACCGAAGTGATTAAGGGAGTAGCATCAACAACTCTTCAAGTGCATGCATACATACTCTCTCTCTCTCGTCCTCTTCCTCTCATCTTATACACGTCGCTCTTTATGTGCGCATTCATTGCTGCTGCCCACCCTTGTCGTCCTCGTGCATACTCCCTGGCAGACTCCCTGGGCGATTAGCTCCTAGAGCATCCTTACCACCATCCCCCCTTCAGCTTTTACCTTATTGTCTCATTTAAGAATCCCCTTACCTATACCCCCATCTCTTTCTGCTAGCCCGGGGTCAAGCCCAAGAGGTCTCATTTTAGCAGCGAGGGCCCTTCATCCCCGCTCATCCCCTGCATCCCTCATCCCCACGTAACGGCAAATAACGGCGTACGGCCGGTTAAGTTCCCGGTCACAGTTGCACGGCGCCAGTTTGTGTGCCAAAATGTATGGCTCTTCGCGGCATGTCGCGATGGGGCTGGCAGGTACGTGTCCTTGCGAGGCCAGCATGCACGTCAGTGGAATCCACTTCGTTTCTTCATGCTCCTGTCTGTGCTGTTAACTTCCTTCTCGTCATACCTGATGTAGACCGGGTTGTATGTGTCGCTCACGATGATGGTTCTCAGGCATTGCTGCTGCCAGCTGTGTGATATTTTTGGTGTCCATGGTGGTTCTCGTTGTCCACCACAAGTCGGCTCACGGGTATGGACATGCGATCTAAGATATGAAGGTGTGCTCATCTCTGAACATCAGGTCGCAACTGTTGGAGGTCTACCCGCCATATGCCACCAAGCAGGTAAATGCTTCTTTGTCAGAATCCTCTGGCGATGACCTCGCATGCTAGATGTTGAACTCTGCTCCATGGAACATCGAGCAGAGAACCTCGTCTCGCCGAATGCAAGAGATGGACAAATTCTGGAAGCAAGCGGTTGATTGCCAAACCATTCATGTAAAAGATTGATTTGTTTGACATCGAACAGGACGAGAGAATCGCTCGAGGGGAGCCGACCCCTGTCTATGTATGTTTATCTTCCCAGAAACTTACGCATTTATAACCATCAACAGGCCAGAAATATGCGTGTTCAGTCTTTAGCCCACGGTAACTGGGATGTAGACCAGACGTCATCCAGGCAAGGGCACAAGGGAATTTTCGTTCTTGATTGTGTTATGGTGCAGATTGAAAAGAGCAGAAGAGCATAAATACAATCAGCAGGCGTATCAGAGATATCAGAATGGAGAGAGCTCTGTGGTAGGTTTTGACGCGCTGACATACGACGTGAGAACTGACCTTGTTAGCCCTGGGACCCGGCCAGCTGGCATGCACTTTACGCCAATAGGATTCGCAGGAAGTCGCTCAAGGAGGTCTGCCGCAAAGAAATGAATGAGTAATTCGATGATTGATCATGGTTTGATGCAGCTCTCAACCCCAAGCACTCAGTCGCTCGCTGCTGGTAATTGGGACATTGACCTCACTTCGCCCAGGTGGTTTTTTGGCAACAACATTTTGAAATTTAGTGATGTTGTGTGAGGAACAGACTGCGATCTGCTGAAGAGAAGAAGTTCGAGAAGCAAAGCGTTGAAAGATATCTTGCAGGAGAAACTAGTGTGGTGACGGCTGCGTTGCTTTGAGCACTGGGAATTAAGCTTATCGCAGATGTGGGATCCTTCTACATGGCATAATCCTTTGTAGAGTCTTATGAAGGACTCAAGTCGTAATAGACTTTTGTCAAGTCGTAGCTCGTGGTTTTTCTTTGAAGTGAATCAATAACATCACCCGTTACAATATGTTGATGTTCGGGGTAGGATGAATAACATCCATCTGCTTGGTTGAAGCATGATCCTAGTTGAAGTCTGCCCCAAAGTAAGTTACTCATTTCAATATCGGCGTAATGAAGCAGGATGAATTAAGATTTATGATATCATCGAACGATTCTTAAGTCTTAGCTCCGCTGGTACAATAAACTTATATATTCACAAAGTAACCTTATATGTTCACAAAGTCAAACACTCATGAAAATTCTTTTAATGATGCCATACCAACCTACCGAAAAAACGATGATAAGCCATTGGTTTTTGAGTTTATTTTTTGTAAAATAGAATAACATCTTACGGTCTTATAACAACTTGTTGTGTTTAAAGAATATCATATTATCTAACTCTTGATTTGAGCAGGAATGCTACTCGCTAAAAGATGTTCAAATGGTTGACATACTTTGTTTTGTAACTCGTTTTCCTGAGGCAGAGATTGAGTTCGCAAAGCTGTGACCATATCATCTTTGTCTGATACAACGCAAGGGGTGGCACCGGAACCAAAATAGCTGAGGAAAACAGTCTTGTCGGCTGACTTAATCATGATCACAACAATGAATCAAAGATATGTGCTGGGATCCTCCACGCTGGGCAAGATTAACGGCAGGAGCAGGCAGGAGCAGGATGCAGAGAAATGCCGGTTTGTCATGTTTTTACATGCTCGACGTTCTTTGTAAGTTGAAAAGACTTCTTTTCAAAGAGTTCTCAGAGTGCGTCCCCGTCAAATCGTTGACATATCACATCGTATCATCGCAGTCTGACCTTATCTGCCTGGCACGTGCCACGGGGTGACGGACGGTAGTACGGTAGAGTCAACGGACTGACGCTGACGGTCACCGGGCCGCGCCCGGCCGGGCCGGCGGCCCGGGCTGTCAGCGCCGCCACGCGGGCCCGGCGGCCTGGGTCGGGTCCCTCACTTCCATTGTTCCCTCACAATTCAACGCGGACGCGTTTAGCAAGCCGGATCACGGTCTACTTTACTCAAAGTTAAGTTAAAATCAGTACGAGGACAATCAGGAGAGTCGAGGAGGCTTGACTTAACTTTGAGTAAAGGCTTGACCCTGACACTGTCGCACAGGCCAAACGGATCACGGTCAGTTCACTGGCCACTGGCAACTTCAAGTAGCCTAGGCCGTGCCCGGCAGTGGGCCGCCTCGGCGAGTCGAGCTGAGCCGCGGCGCGCGCCGGGCGCCGCGGCCGAGCCCGGCCTTGCCGCAGTGCCCGGCACTGTGACGAATCACGGCGGGCAATCCGGCGTGGCGTGGCCAACTTACCACAGCGGTGAACTTCGGAACTTCGGAAAGTGAAACTTCGAAGTTTATAAGGCTTGGCTACTATCAGGTCCTCTGAGCACAGTTGGGTTTGAGAGTCTTTCTTTCATGGATACTTTTACTTCCTACAAAGACGAATTCAATCTATGTAAGCAAGGAAAAAACAGGAATTTGAAAAAAAACATAAGGAAGCAAGGAAAGTATGGCACTGTTTTCTTTATTGCAATTTTATACTAGCGGGCTAGCTCGTTTCTACGGAATGAGATTTTGTTTATAATAGAAATAGATGTAGTGACAGAGCACATGCCTCTTGAAATCCATGTTCTCAGGAAGAACATGGCAAATAAATTGAAAAATTTCCGCAAAATCGCCTATGCATTTCTGTTCCTTGCGCAACCATGCCAACAGCTCTTTGAGAATGTACAATCTCATTGGTATGGGCATGATCGGTGTCATCACTCTGAAAATATCCCCGTGATAATCCAATATCTTCATGAAATAATCATTACTCGCTAGAACCCAACATTTATTGAACACCGTCCTATCAAAGAAATGGTCCCAGAAAACGTCCTCCTCGAAAAATATTCGGAAAAAGCAGCACTCCTCGAATTCATTGCCTTCCTCCTCATAGTAGTACTTGCCCGGATCGTACATGGCCTGCACATTAACGTCTGCAGTGCAGTCTATCACCTTGAAAGCCTCCTCCAGACATTTCCTGTGCTCCAAGTCCCTTTGCCGCCAGACTTCTCGAAATTCAGATTCTCCATCGTCTAGCTCACTCATCTCATCCATATCAGTCGTGTCCATCCTCTGATCTACTATCTGAGCCACTCCCTGACCGCCCTTGCCTCTCCTCCTGCTCCCACTTCAGCCGTGTCCTGTACAGGTGATAAAGGGACGGTTTGGTCGGATTTCTGCTGGTTTGAGGGATGACGGTGTTTTAACTAAAATTTCGAGATACCCGATCAGTGTCACTAGAACTGAGATTTTTAACTTAACTTTGAGTAAAGAACTGGGAACGCCGGTACCGTTTTTAACTTCACTTTGAGTAAATAGAGTGTACCGTACGGGTGACTCGGCGGCCGGGCCCGGCCCGTGCCGACATTGTATCTGGTGCAGTATCCGGTGCAGTATCCGGTGCAGTATCCGGTGCAGTATCCGGTGCAGTATCCGGGGCAGTGAGAGCGTGCCGTCGTGCGATGCGGCACAGAGATGTGATGGCGGGAAGAGAAATAGGAGGAGAGGAGGAAGGTGAGAGGAGATGAAGAAGGAGAGAGGATATGAGGATGGAGGGAGGAAGGAAGAAGGAGGAAGGTGAGGAGGGAGGAGTGATGAGATGAGGAGGAGGAACGAGAGGAGCAAGGAGCAAGGAGAGGAGGGAGAAGTGGGGAGAGGAAGGAGGGAGGAGAGGAGGGAGGACAGAAGAAAGAAGTGGGAAGAGGACGATGAGGATATTCAAACCAGGATCACGTGATGTGCACAGCGCGAAACAGAAGGAGAGGAGAAGGAGAATGAATAGAAAAGGTTCACACTTGCAACTAGTTAGGCTGGAGTCAAATATCATACGATTTTCTTGTGTCTGTAAGCGAAGTTCACAGATAGTTGCGTACTACACCTCTTCAAGTGTAAAGATGTGAAGATTGAACATATGCATATGACGGAATGGTCTCTTTGAAGAATGTTATGTGATGAGGCCCACTTGTTCCTTGTGTGACTGATACTTCATTGAAGGGATCTCTTCATGCACATGTGGAGCTGTACGTCTAGCCTTGTGTAGCACTGCCCGTTGAGGTGAATACTCATCCCATAGTACTTGCGTGTTCCAAGTTGAGGTGAGTCGATTCACCCCTGCCCCTCGAAGTCGTAGCAGCCCACCAGGCCATGGCCTTGACGTCGTTCGCGCAGAGAAGATGGACTCCGAAGGCTCTATGAGCGACTCCCCTGTGCGACGGTGAGCATGATGTTCCTTTTCGTTCTCTCAGTGACGGTTGAGAAGGAGCTTGTCGAGGAGCCGAAGCCCTGTGTTGAGACGACGACAACGATCGGGCGGGAGCGGGTACGAATGTTTGACTTCCTAGCCTGTCGTGTGACTGTGTGTTCCAGCTCCAACAGTCCAGAGCCTGCCATGAAGAGACGGCGAGGGCCAACAACGGAGAACATGTATTCCTCCACCTTATGCTATCGCCTCTTGACCCCTGATCCTCTTGCAAGGTCTCCCAAGGAAACCGCAAAGTCGAAGAGCCCCAGGCAAGGAGGAGAAGTGAGGGGAAGCTTGTTCTTACGAGTTGACTTGTTCACGGACAGTCGAGGAAGAGCTGTGGAGAGAAGATCTGTGAGCGACTGATGCGTCCATACATCACACTTTCCTATCTCTAACTCCATCCTAGGTCTCGGAGCAGGCTGCAAGCCCCCCGAGGTATGATTTGCTTTCCTCCTCCTTCGCTTCAGCTTTCCTTCTCCTCGTGCTCTTCCTTGGTCCTTCGGCTCCCTCCTCAGTTCTGCTGCAGGCGCCCTAAGATCAGTGCCAGAGCGGACGCAGGCGACACGAGAGGGAGTGATAGTGACAGAGGTGTGAGGAAGAGGGAGCTACGAAAGAAGACAAAAGAGCGAATTCGCAAAGTTTTGGGGGAGGACAGTAGCAGCGGCAGCGGCGGCGGTCGTGGAAGAAGCCGAAGTGTGGGAAGCGAAAGCAGTGCAAGCAGCGTGAGGAAGAGGAGTTTGAGTGTGAGCAGTAAGGAGGATGGGGAAGATTCAAGCACGTCGAGTATCCGGCTGAGGATAAGAGAACATGACAGCAGCGAATCTAGTGCAGGAGAAAACAATGAAGGAAGTGGAGATGGGGAAGAGCGCAGAACAAGGAAGATGCGGGGGTATGGCAATGTTGCTTCTTTAGGCCAGGTGTGATAGTTTGGACCCAGGAGGAAGGGAGCAAGGCGGAGCCTTCGAGACTCGAACAGAAGGTCCCATTGCTCTGAGCAACATGCTTGCTTGAGATCTCTGAGCCTTGTGGCAGTGACCGTGTACGGGGAAGGTCGGAGGATGACGAGGAGGTAGACGTGACACTGCAATCTGCTGTCGATGAGATGCTGACGACAAGGTCAGGTCACAGAGAAACGGCAGCTTGATAGCACGCGAACGAGGGAAAGGCCGGAGGGTAGGGAGGGCATGGATGCTAGAATGGACCGTTTTGGGAGGATGCGCAAGTCGGAAGATGACGAGGGGGAAAATGCGAGAGATGGAGGGAGAGGATGGAGAGAAGACTACCGACTTCGACGAGGGGAGGAAGAGAGGAGGCAAGAGCGGAGGTTCGAGGAGGAGCTGCGCAGACCTGAGAGGAGAGAAGAAGATGACTCTGAAAGGAAACCTCAAAGAGAAATAACAGAGGAAGATGAAGACCTAGACAGAATGCGCCAAGATCTGAGGCGAGCGAGGGACTCGATGGTCCAGACGGAAGGGGTGAGGTCGACATCTTCGGTGGAGAGAAGAGAGGAAGTTAAATCTGAAAGGCGTATGAGAGATGAGGAGACACGATCTGCTGCTGCCGAGAGCATGAAGGTGGAGGCTGAACGAGATGGGATCAAAGAGGAGACGATCCCCAACAAGGTTCAAATGGATAAGGAGGAAGTTTCGAAGCAACAAGAGGATGAAGGACAGCAGCAGATTGAAGATGATGATGCTAATTCTACAGCATCCAACCCGCTGTACCCTCCTCGCTCGTCAGAAACCATGTGCGATGTTGGCTAGATCCTCGTCCTGCACTTCCCTTGAACGATCGTTTCCTCTCTTCCAATCCTCTACATTTTGCGCTCAACGAGTTACTAGGAGGAGTGCCGACCTCTCCTTGTCTCTCCACTAAATTCACCTGCTATCCTTCCCTTCGCCTCTCAATTTAATTCCCCGCCCACCCCCCGCCCCCGCCCCTCTCTTGTTTCGTCTCTCACTTTTCAGTGTCAGGGAGGTTGCGGGAGACAACGATCAAGAAGGCTTGAGCGACGCTGACCGATCCTCTACGATTGCAGCCAAGGCATTTCTCGTTTTCTTCTTTACTCCTGCTGCCTCCCCTTTCTCGGAATTCCTCTTCACTTGATGCTTCTCCTTCCTGTTTCCCTCCTTGGTGCCATCGTTAGCCGTCATTCTTCTGAGTAATCAACTCACTGGGGCTTACAGTTGGCAGCGGCAGTCTCCGCTGCTGTGAAGCAGCATGCTGGTACTTGTGTCCCACCCTGACGACGGTCAGCGTGACTTGAACCCGATAGATGAGAAGACGTCAGACGACCCCGAGGGGCGAGGGAGAAAAGGTTGGAACCTCTCCGACAGCTCCAGCTGAAACCTCTGCAGAAAAGTTGGATCCTCAGGAAGTCGAGCTTCGCAAGAAGTTGCGAGGCATCATGGCAAGGGACTTTCTCTTTCTGCCCCTCCTCTGACGCTCCCTCAGCTCCCTCTCGTACACAGTGGCCTTTGCAAGCCTGAGGATGTGACCAACGAGGAGGTGAGGGCCAGAGGCGCAGCTGGAGTGGAGCTGGATGCTGAGGTGGAAACAGGTGCTCAAGATGCTGTGCCAGCTGGGGGAAGAGAGTGCGGCCGACAGGATGAAGGCCTTCAGTGACTACACTATGGCGAAGAGAGTAGCCGGAGAAACGGAGGTGATAGATGGGAGATGGAGACAAGCGACGAGGGGAGGGAGTGGAGAGAAGGGGGGAGGAGGAGGGAGGAGGAGGGAGGAGGAAGGGAAGAGACGGGAGCAGGGTAGAGAGGAGGGAGAGGAAGAAACATCTGACAAGGAGCAGGTGTGGAAGGCGGGACACAATCCCCTGCTCGCGTTTCTTTCATCGGATGAGAAGGCGGTGAGTGAGATTCTTCTGGCGGACTCCAAGAAGAAAGTTTCAATCTCCTTCGGATCCAAGAAAGAGGTCTCTTCCTCCTCCTCCTCCTCCTCCTCCTCCTCTCTTCCTGCTCCTCGTCTCTCCTCCTCCTCGTCTCTCCTCCTCCCTCTCCTCGGCCGCCGTGTACCCTTTCAACTTCTCGTTGCTGTCTCCATCTTTGCCCCTGTTCTGTTCTTGATCCCTCGCTTTTCCTTGATCTTTACCTGTCCTCTTCACACTGGTTCTTGCATTACTGTTCAGGTTTCTCTCGGTCATTTCAAGAAGAAGACTTCGGAAGAGAAGAAGGCCAAACGACTCGAGGAGGAGGTTTCATCAATTGGTGTGTTCCTGTCAGCTGACTCCCAGCAGGCTGCAGCGAAGAAGAAGGCGGAGGAAGAAGCAGCAGAGGTGAGGACACTTGGACCTTGTGTCTCGAGAGTGATATGAAGTCAAAGGAGGAGAAACTCAAACAAGAGGAGGTGAAGGAGGAGCCAAAGAAGGTCGTCAAGAGTGCGGGCGAGAAGAAAGCTCCCAAGAAGCATCAAACTCCACCCCCCCAGCCTCCTCCTCAGCCTCCTCCTCAGCCCCAGCAGCTCCAGCCGTCTCCTTTGCACCCTCAGCCCGCAGCAGATGCTGGAACAGGTGAAAGAGGCAGGCAGGAAGGGAGGGACGGAGGGGGGGGGGGGGGAGGGACGGAGGGACAGAGGGACAGAGGGACAGAGGGAGGAAGAAACAGAAACAGAAGCAGAAGCAGAAGCAGAAGCAGAGACAGAGAGAGTTTGATCTCGAACTGACTCTTCTCAAGCCTACAGCTTTCCTGCTCAAGCGTCGAGCTGGACTAACCCCCTCACACACGCGCAGGTTCTGCCGCCTCCTCTGTCGAACCTTGTTGAGTCTGGTCTGATCTTCTGCCTTCAGGTCGCTGCCCCCTTGGCTCAAGGCCTGTCAGTATCGCCTCATGTCGCTTCTTGTCGCCCTCCTGTGCCGCCTCTTATCCTCTCCCTCAGGCCCCCCCGGCGTCTCTCTCTCCCGGCCTCCCATACGGAGGTATCTTGATGTCCTCAAGCCACGAGCTCTTGCCCTCGCCTTTTGGCCTCATCCCCACTCCTACCCTCCAGCTCTTGACCTTCACCGCTCTCTGATCAGCTTCACATCAGGTTCTGCCCAACAGATGGGAGGCAGCATGGGAGGTCAGGTACAGAGCCAGTACCTGCCGCAACATCCTCCTCCTCCCCAGCAGCAGCAGCAGCACGTCACCGGAGGGTTCCCTCGACCCCAGCAGGGAATGATGCAAGCTCCTCATCAGTATGGAAGCCCGGGGCCAATACCACCCCAGGTGATGCCTCAAATGATGGGGCAGATGCAGCAGCAGCCGCAGCAGCAGCCGCAGCATCAGCAGCATCCAATGCCCCACCAGCAGCACTTGCACAACAACCTCCAGCACCAGCAGCAGCAGCAGCAGCAGCAGCAGCGGTTCCCGCAGCGGTTTCCACAGCAGCAGCAGCAGCAACAGCCACAGTTCCCATCTCAGCAGCAGCAGTTCCCGCAGCAGATCCCACAACAACAACGGCAGCAGCAGCAACAGCAGTTCCCACCTCAGCAGTTCCCACCTCAGCAGCAGCAGCAGCAGCAGTTCCCACCTCAGCAGTTCCCACCTCAGCAGCAGCAGTTCCCACCTCAGCAGCAGCAGTTCCCACCTCAGCAGCAGCAGTTCCCACCTCAGCAGCAGCAACACCAGCAGCACCTGCACCACAATCCTCACCAGCAGCAGCAGCAGCAGCAGCAGTTCCCGCAGCAGTTCCGGCAGCAGCAGCAGCAGCATTTTCCCCCTTCCATTCCACAACGTCCTTCCACGGCCCTCCGAGCCCCCCTGAATCTCTCTCAGCCTTCGCTGTCTCACTCGCCGGATCGCTTCCTTCATAGCTCGGGTGGTGGACGACATGCGAGGATGTACCATGAGGAGTACGAGGAGGAGGAGGAGGAGCTGCCGCCGCCCAAGCCGCGAAAGCCAAGCCCGCCAAGGCGAGACAGGAGGCTGGAGGAGAGCGAGGAGAAGGAATGGAAGACCGCGAAGATGGAGGGACAGAGAAGTTCGCGGCCGCTCGAGAAGAATTTCGATTACAACGAACGAAGGAACATGCCGATGCAAGGAGGAGGAGGAGGAGGAGGAGGAGGAAGGCAAATGGGAAACATGCAGAATGGAATGGGTCCGGGGATGATGAGACCAGGAGGCTTCGATATGAATCTCATGGGCGGAGGTGAGAGCCGGGGAGGTCAGGAAGAGCTCTAGAGCTGACGAGGTACCGTAGGTGGGATGTTTGGTGGAGGCATGCCGGGCGATGGAGGGAGGATGGAAGCGTTTCAGCCCGGGATGCAGTCCATGGGGATGGGAGGTAAGCGAGGCGAGCTTGCAATAGGGGAAGTCAATTGATGACAGCGGCAGGAAATATGAATCCGATGGGTGCCAGAGGCTTCCGAGGGATGAACCTGCCTGCACAAACGGTATCTCTCCTCCTCCTCCTTCAGAATCCCCCGCCCTCCCCCCCCCCCTCCCCCTCAAACACGTACCTCCTCCTTCTCCTCCTACCAGTGCTGCTCTATGGTATTCTCTTGTTTCCTCCTCCTTTTCTTCAGCTCCCTTCCTCTCGTCCCTGCCGTCCTGACCAGATCTTGTGGTGCACTTAGCAGATGCAAGGAATGTTCTCTCCTTCCATGGGCGCTCCGAACGCCAACGGGTCCTGGAACCTCCTCTTGTATTCTTGCGCTGAGTGATGTGCAGGATGCGGTTCAACGGAGGGCGAGGCCAATTCGGATGAAAAGGAGGAGGAGGGGGAGAAGGAGAAGGAGAAGGAAGATGGGGAGGAATTCTAGAGGTGGGAGAGGAAGATTAATGGGGATTCGAGAAGATTTGATGAATCAAGAGATTAGTAGCGATATCGCTTCCTCCATGTAGCCCATCTCCTGCACCTGCTCGCACTCATCAAACTCCTTCCTCCTTCCTCCTCCTCCCTCCTCCTCCTCCTCCTCATCCTCATCCTCATCCTCCTCCTCCTTTCTCCTCCTCCTCCTCCTCCTCCTCCTCCTCCTCCTCCTCCTCCTTCATGGATCAACCTGCTGAAGGTAGACGGTTGCGATGAATGCTGTAACCATGTCATGCCCTTCCCCCACCTCCCCGCTGCCCGCCCGTCACCTCCCACGGCGATAGCGCAGAGGGTGAGGTATCCAAGGACTACAGCTCCTCCTTTGACAGTGAAATGAGAATCACCGAGGAGGAGGAGGAGGAGGATAGGAGGGAAAGGAGGACGAGGACGAGGACGAGGAGGACGAGGACGGGGACGAGGACGAGGAGGACGAGGAGGACGAGGACGAGGACGAGGACGAGGAGGACGAGGAGGACGAGGAGGACGAGGACGAGGACGAGGACGAGGAGGACGAGGAGGACGAGGACGAGGACGAGGACGAGGAGGACGAGGTGGACGAGGAGGACGAGGAGGACGAGGAGGACGAGGAGGAGGAAGGAGGAGGATAGGAGGGAAATGAGGAGGAAGAGGAGGAGGAGGAGGAGGAAGAGGAAATCACCAGCTAGTAAACCTTCCTGCTCCTCCAAGTCAGGTATGTCAAGGACTCCCATGCCTGAACAGATCGCATGTCATCCACAGAGGTGACTGCACTATCGCCTCTCCTCCCTCACTACTCCTGTCACTCCGCCTTCGTTTCCTCATATGATACCTGGCACGCTCTGGAAGTCGAACTTGGAGAGGAGAAGATCGTTCCAGTCATCCAGGCTCACGTTCTGCCATCCTCCTCAGCCTCGCTCGCACAGCTGCTTCCTCTTCACCTTGGGCCTCCTCGCATCAAGAAACTGCAGGAGGTCGTAGCAGAGGACGCGGTTCTGCAGCTCGCCGCGCACGAGGCTGTCGAGGAGCTCAAAGTCCTCGCTGTGCCGCACGAGTTTCATCCGACGAGCTTGTGCCTCTGCTCCCTCCGCCTGTGACGTCAGCTCTGCTCCCTCCAGCTGGAACGTCAGCTGGGCGTTGGCTCGGATGACAGCTTGAGGGATGATGAGCTCCCTCTCGAGCACCAGCTTGCGGAAGAAGAGCCCAACTGACGTCCAAGAGAAGCGACTCTTCTCTCTCAGCTTGTGCAGCAGGTCTCTCCTCTGCACCTTGATCCAGGGAAGCTTTCCAACCTCCTCCAGCCATGCCGCTCTTGCTGGGGTCCAGCTCATGTTGTACCGCAGGAGGACGACGTTGGCCTCGACCTGCTGGCAGGAGGTGACAAGGACCGAGAGTTGACAAGCGTCCTCCTCGAGCTGTTGCCGCCATAGACGAGCCGTCTCGAGGTACTCCCGCTTGCCCACCAGCCTGACGCTCCTGTCCTCGTAGATAACATCTTCTCCTACCTGCGATGGCTCAGCAGATCGCCAGTCCCATGTCCTTCACCTCAAGGTCGAAGCTGGAAGCGCTTTGAGGCGTTACTCCCAGGTACGGCCAGCCCCCTCCTTGCTCCAGCACACGAGACAAGCACTCAGCTAGTGAGCGAGATGATGGCGGGATCGAGGAAGAGGAGGACGAGGACGAGGACGAGGACTGAGATAGCCTCAGGGGGGTGATCGAAGGATGGCAAGAACGAGGGCGAGAGGAGGGGGCATTCAGAAAGCATAATGCATTCCTCCCACAACCACGCTCAGTGGAGAACTTCAGACCTCCTCCTCCTCCTCCTCCTCCTCCTCCTCCTCCTCCTCCTCCTCCTCCTCCTCCTCCTCCTCCTCCTCCTCCTCCTCCTCCTCCTCCTCCTGCCCCAGCTCCTCCACTCGCCACAACACAAGCATGGAGGAGGAGCAGAAGCAGCATGGGGGCAGCAAATTCGTGCTACCCCACCCAGTGAAATACTCAAAAGGCAGCAGACGGCAAGAAGACGACCGAGTCGTACATGACAGAAGAAGATTGAAGGAGAACTCAAGGGACAGAAGAGCAGGACAAGGACGAGGACGAGGACGAGGAGGACGAGGACGAGGACGAGGACAAGGAGGACAAGGAGGACGAGGAGGACGAGGAGGACGAGGAGGACGAGGAGGACGAGGAGGACGAGGACGAGGACGAGGAGGACGAGGAGGACGAAGAGGACGAGGAGGACGAGGAGATCGAGAGAGTAGACGAGCGAGCGCAAGTGGAAAGCAGAGAAAGTTGGGAGAGGGGCAGGAGCAAAGGAAGGCACGAGAAGGGAGGAGAGCAGATAGCAATAAGACCCATCGGGATGTGATGTTGTTGAGCATGATGCGTGTGAGCGGTCGAAGAAGAGACGTGACGCAAGTCAACGCTTCTTTCCTGAGCAGATGGATCATATGCTCATTCTTGATTCAAGGAAGCTCCTTCTCAACAACATCACATTCCGATGTGTCTTGTTACTATCTGCTCTCCTCCCTTCTGCTTCACCTGAGCCTCAGGTGAGCTTCAGCTAGCGTTCCATGTCCCTGCATCCACTGTCATCTACCACACCCGTGAACGAGGCACGAAGATCTTCCTCTGCTCATCGTAGATGTAGCACAAGCACGAAGTCTTCGTGGACTCCGGGACGGCGTCCTCAGGACTCCAGGACAGCGTCCTCAGTTGCCAGGTTCAAGGAGGTACTACGGTAGGAGAGATGTCTTTGAAACGCGGCATACACCTTCCCATTGTGCTCCAGAGTGGCCCTGACGTTGCATGAATCTCCCTGACGGCTGTAGACTGACAGTGAGTGACGGTGAGCATTCCCAGCCTCAGCGAGCCCAGCGAATGGAGAGGTAGGGGTTGTGCATGCCACAATCAAAACGGGAGTCCGATGGCACTTTGCCAGTTGAGCTTCTCAGTAGAAATCGACGTTACACTTTCTGGCATGGGCACTTGCTGCTGGACGGTTCCGAAGTCACACCGGCACCTGGCCGGTCGGTCCACGCCGGGACCGTCCGATCCGACAGTCCATCATCGGATCGGACTCACAGCCGCGGCTACCCGAGGGCCACTGCCAGTCACTGTGAGCAGCGGCAAGATGACGAGCCTGTTCTCTTAGAGGAACTTCGGACTCAGGCCGTTCCGAAGTCACAAGTTCCCGAGAGTCGGTGGCCGGGCCGGCGGCGTCCGTGCGAGTCCGTGACTGTGACGGTGGCCGGGCCCAGACTCGGATCCCGGCGGGCCCGATCGGCCCGGGGCCACTGCCCGGCAGTAGGGTTCATATCACTGAGTGAGTCTAGTCACATAAGTACCGGTACTTCACTCCTCTGGAACCTCGCATGTCCCCACCCCCTCTATCCCGCCCACCCTGTCGTATCCTCCTAGGCATATCCTCCCTGGTATAGCATTGCTAGAACCTGATAAATTACTACCCACTCCAAGGTAGGAATTTTTGTAATGCCTCGGGATTCCAGGGGTGGGTACTGCACCCTACCCTATATTTCAAGAAGCCCCACCCCTTACTTTATACCCGACTAATTCGAACCAATTCCTTCGGAAGTTGGCGATGGAAGTACCGGCCATTGAAAATATTTCCGTAAAATTAAACATAATTGAGAAGTTCAATATAGAATATTACCAATAAATTTCGAGTTTTCTTGTGTCATGACCCTACCCTCAGGAAGCCAAGTTTCCCGAGATCGCACGATAGGACAGCTCAGACCCTCTGCCGCAATGCTCCCTGCTGCTAGGCCAGAAAGCGGCGACACGGCTCCAGCATCTGCTTACTCCTCCCTCCCCTTCTTCTCTTGATCCTACTGCTCATCAACCTACTCTAGCTCTCCTTCTTCTGCTGATTTCTCTCTCCTTCCTTATCATCGTCATCTCCCTTTCGTTTTTCCTCTTCATTCTTGCTTCATTCTTTGTCCATCCCTCTGGTCTCGGTCCCTTCCGCAGTTGCTTGACATTGCTACCCTCTCCTGAGTCATTTTAACTTGTTCTTTGTATTATTGTCTCTGTCTCCTGTCTCTATCTGTTGTACTGTACGCTCGATTGCCCACATCCGATTCAGATCCCTTGCACATGTCCGAAGACCTCAAGTACTCACTTCCATTGTTTTGCTCGATCGATCCGTGTACAACATTTGTTATAGTAGTTTGAAGTCCTAATCACAAGTTTCTTTTTCCTTAAGATGATCTACTCAATGATGAAAGTGGCAATTTGTGGTCCAAATAGTTTTGTTTGAAATCAGGGCTGTTGTAAAATATCAGTTTCATTCAGTCTGTTGAAGTATCCATGCCTTCTGCTTGATAATTGCAGCTGCATATTTGTGTATCTCATTCCTGTTGCTCAGGATTGCGATCCAAGCCAGGCCCTAAGGCTTCATACTCGTCTGTGGAGCAGGAGCAGCGTCTCAGCAGGCTTAGTCTGAATCGCTTGCCGTGCTATCTCCCCTGCATGATGCAGTCTCAAGACTATATCACGCTGGAACAAGGATGGGGCAAAATGCAGGAAGGATTTGACAAGTTTATCGAGATCATGGAAGGCGGTTTTAGAGAACCATTTGCGCTTTCCCTGCATTCTGAGCTATACACGTGAGTTTTCATAAGCTTGCAGGCTGGGCTAGTTGTAATTTGATGGATTTAGGAACTGCTATGCGATGTGTACGCAGAAGGCACCGAATAATTATGCAGATCAACTCTATCAGAAATACGGAATGATCTATGAAACCTACCTGCATGCAACTGTCCTCCCAGCTATCAAATCAAAAAAGGGAGAGGCTATGCTGCACGAATTTGCCAAAAGGTGGAAGAATCACAAGCTCCTTGTCCGACAGATGTGGAAGCTGTTTGTGTATCTGGTAACGTTGTCTTCACGTATGTCTTACTTGCAGCCGTTTATTTGAATCGCAGGACCGCTTCTACATTAAACGCATAAGCGGTCTGCCTCTTAAAGCAGTGGGTAAGGCTCTCATGACGTGATATACGAAGTATGTGACCTGTCCTCTTAGGTGTTCAAAAGTTTGAGCAGGTTGTGTTCAATGCAGTCAAAGAAGATGTACGAGCAGGCATCTTGGGAATGATTGAGAAAGAAAGGGAAGGCGAAGACGTAGATCGAGAACTTCTCAAGTCTGTTGTAAATGTAAGTTTTGTAGTGTTGATCATTATATATGTCTGTATTGTGTTTGAAATGCATTCGCCAGGTTTTTGTGGAGATCGGGGACTGGAGACCACTATTCCCCACTCGGGTGGGCGAAGAGTTGGGGGACATTGGCGCAGCAAGATTCAATGTTTACAACAAAGAGTTGGAGCAAAACCTACTGGCTACCACCAGTGAGTTTTATGCAAGAGAAAGTGCCCAATGGATTGCAACAGACAGTTGTCCAGAGTACATGAAGAAGGTAAATTCAACATCTCGTTTATCGCTTCTACTTCATAAAAAATTAACAAATTTGTCGCTTGTAAAACAGGCCGAAAACAGGTTGCAGCAAGAAGTGGAGAGGGTGCACGCGTATCTTCACAGTGTCAGTGAAGAAAAGCTTCTGAAGGCATCAAACCTCGTTGATTTCGTTCGGACTGACGTTGGTGTAGGAATGTGAGAACCAGCTGCTTGCTGTACACCAAACTGCCTTGTTGGACAAAGAAGAGACTGGTTGCAGAGCTCTTCTTCGTGAAGGAAAGACTGAAGGTCTTATTTCAACCTTGTTCTAATTCTGGAATCTTACTATCTCATAGATCTTGCAAGAATGTACAAATTGTTTACAAGGTTACCAAATAGTCCGGATTGTGGCCTACAGCCAATCAGTCAAATCGTGCGAGAGCATATTGTAGATGTAATGCTTTCTGTTCGGGGTCACAGCAGAACCTGACACTCACACAGGTCGGAATGAGCTTGGTCAGGAAGCAAGAGGGAGAAAAGGATCACTCAAACTATGCGCAGCAGTTGATTGAACTTCATGATCAGTACTTGGCCTTGGTGAATGGACCCTTTGGCAACAATACCCTTTTTCAGAAGGTCTTGAAAGAGGCCTTTGAAGTTTTCGTGAACAAGGACATTGGCTCGACCACAACCGCGGAGCTTTTGTCTTCTTTCTGTGACAACATTATGAAGACTGGTGGAGACAAGATAGAAGGAGAGATCGATTCTATTCTTGACAAGATTGTGATGCTCTTCTCCTACCTGAGTGATAAGGTATGGTCTTCACCCCTTTTACTTGTTTGTTTTTTGTCTTTCATCGCACCGTGTGACTTTCTGCTTACAGGACATGTTTGCTGAGTACTACAGAAAACAACTAGCGAAGAGATTGCTCCTCAATCGCAGTGCATCGGATGATGACGAGAGAAGTTTGATCACCAAGCTGAAGGTGACTTGAGCGTTCCTTGAGGATGAGGATGGGCACTGACACAAAACCAGTATCGATGCGGTGCACAATTCACCTCCAAGCTGGAGGGAATGCTTACAGATATGAATGTTTCTAAGGTTCTGCTCATTGTTTTGAGTCATTTGAGCTCGATTCTCAAACATGATTGGCAGGATGGGCAGAATAACTTCACGCAATGGATGAAAAATAATGATATCAACCTAGGAATGGAATGCTCTGTTACAGTGCTCACAACCGGATTCTGGCCCACTTACAAAGTTGACGAAGTCAACCTGCCAAACGAGCTTGTCAAGTGTGTGGATAAGTTCACCCAATTCTACGAATCCAGAACATCTCATCGCAAGTTGAAGTGGATTCATACCCTTGGAACATGTGTAGTATTGGGCAGATTTGACCCAAAACCGATCGATTTGGTAAGATTGTTTATCGATTCGTTGACAACTTTTGAAAGGTTTTGAAATTTTCAGGTTATTTCTACTTACCAAGCATGTATTTTAATGCTGTACAATCAGCAAGAGGAATACACAACTCAGGAGATTGCGAACGCGACCAAGCTTCCCATGGAAGAGCTAAAGAAGTATCTTCAGACATTAGCCTTGAGCAAGTAAGCTTAAGTCCGCCTGCTCGTGAGGCCTGGAGTCATGCTCGCCTTAGGTACCAAATTCTCACCAAAACCCCTAAGGGCAAGGAGATAGCAGATTCCGATGTGTTCACTTTCAATCGGTATTTTCTTGTATCTTTTCGATCCGGCGGTTCTCAATGTCCTCGCAGCAAGTTCACAGATCGTCAGAGGAAGATCAAGATGTCGCTCCTTGTTACCAAGGTTTGAATCCCATCTCTCCACGAAACAGAGTGCTAAGTCAAAGCAGGTTTCGCAGGATGAGAAGTTGTCGACAAAGCAAACTGTTGACGAGGATAGGTTGGGCGACTCACGAGGTTTGTCCCCACTGAGAGTTTGGTCAGGAAACATGCTGTGGAGGCGTCCATCGTCCGTGTGATGAAGGCGAGGAAGACGATGGCACACCAGCAGCTGGTGATGGAAGTCTCCCAACAGCTCATGAAGCTGTTCAAACCCGATCCCAAGGTAGGAGGAACCTGAGCTTCTCCTGTGTGACAAGAGGGTTGACAGGTGATCAAGAATCGCATTGAGAGTCTCATCTCCAGAGAGGTTCGAGTGACTTGAAGTGTGTGAAGAGTTGACATGCCCTGCAGTACTTGGAGCGTGACAAAGACAACAACGGCGTTTATAAATATCTCGCTTAAGTGATTGGGAATTCTGGTCGACAGCGTTGCCGAATGAATGATGCGAATCATGATCATGCCTCCTCCTGATCCTCCTCCTCCCGCTACTCCTCCTCCCTATCTCCTGCTCCTGCTCCTGCTACTCATCCTCCTTATCTCCTGCTCCTGCTCCTTCTACTCATCCTCCTTATCTCCTCCTCCTTCCTCCACTCCCCTTGGCCTTTTCTCCTTCTCCTCCTCCTCCTCCTCCTCCTCCTCCTCCTCTGCACACGCGCTTCTCCTCTTGGCTTCACTTCACTTCAGGGCTCTTCTGCTAGGCCTGTCTCGTCCTCATCCACGTCAAACGAGAGGGTGCTGCGGGATTTCTGCTTCTTGTGCTTCTTAGCTGCGGAAGCCTCTGCCTCCTTCTCGCTCGCCATCTCCTGCGCGAGCGTCTCTCTCTTCTCGCACAGCTCGTCGTAGGTCACCAGACCCACCGCAGACTTGACGAGCTTGTCCTCAAGACTTTCCTCTACCCGTCCAGCAAACTTGTCGCCCTTGAAGACCTCCTTGGTCCAGTTGGCAGCGTCCAACGACTTCTCTGCCTGTGCTCTGATCTGCTTCTGTTCCTTGCTCTTAAGCTCCATCTCCTTCTTGCGCGCATTCTTGGAGATCGGGTTGTGCGGCAGCTTCGTGGGGTTCAGCTTCGCGTTCATCTTCTGTAGTTTCCTGTCCATCCCTGCCGCTCGTTGCCGGTGGGACCAGGAGGACAGCAGGGGGGGAGGTGCCGCAGTGCGAGTAAAGGATGCGAGGGCGAAGTTGGAGGGACAAGGGGTAGTGGGAGCAGAATACAAGCAGGGGGTGGGTGGTGCTGGAATGGTAGGGAACAGTCACGGTGCCGCTAGCGAGGCATGCGGGCTTGATAATTCTGTGCGACATCTACTTGTGTCAGGGTCAAGCCTCCTTTAGTCTCCTGATTGTCCTCTTCGTACTGATTTTTAAACTTAACTTTGAGTAAAAAAAGTCATGACATTCAACTTATATCGACTCTATGAAAACCTTCACAAGGGTTCTGATCGCATCGCTCCGAGCTTCGTCTTCTTGTTTTCCTTCAGGTGGAACTTCTTCGCAATGTTGCGAGCAGCCCTCCCCTTCCCGATGACATTCTGCCGGATTGGACTCACGGTGAGCATTCAACTTGGCAACCGTTCAAGTCCATGAGTCTCACCTTGTAATCGTTCTCCAACTCCCTCTGAATCTTCAGCAGCTCGTGCAGTGACTGCTGCTTTGACCTGGAGCCGCCCTTGTCAAAATCCTGCATCATGTTTCACAACAGCTGTCCACATGTCAACAACATCTCCAGAACCTGCGACAGCGCCATCAGGCTCCCTGTCGTATCCCGTGACTTCAGCGCGGAAGAGGAGGACTGCAAGAGTGATAGTCAGAAATATCAACATACAAGCTGCATACGTGAAGCAAACCTGCGGCATGCTTTCACCTCCATCTTTCCTCGTCTCCCTCTTCTCCTCCATGTTCGAGTCCTTCTTGCTATGCGATGGCTGCTCACGACTTGGCTTTCTCTTCACCTCCTCTGACGTCTCCTGCTCTCTCGCACTGTCACGTCTATTGTCCTTGGCAGCAAACGACTTGTGTTGATCGATGTCGCTGACTTTTATCACGCCCTCATCGAAGTACTTTGTTTGGGCCCGAGATGCCGTTTGTCTCACGTACTTCTCCTCCGCGTTCAGCAAGTCAATGATCTGCCTTCATATTAACAGGCTCGTCACTCACAGCGTCCGATCAAACCTGTTTCTTCGCACGTTCAATAATCTTGATCGTCTTGCTCTTTGCGCTCTGAACATGCTCGAGCGCCTGAGCGAAGGGCGCTGACTTCTTGCTGCTCGTGATCAGGTCCAAGTCTTGTTTGTGGATCGCAGTTGCGGATTCCTGCGACTGATGCTCCTGCCGCCTGAACGGATCTCTCTCGTCCTTCTTGCCACTTAAAATTTCTCGCTGCTCCACTTGAACCTTCTGCTGCTCTTCGTTTTCTCTACTTTGTTCCTGGCATCACCCGGTCAGGTGCGATTCGCAGCGGAGGCAAGTTAGGTATGATTCCTTACCTTCTGGGCTCCCTCGAACAATTTGAGCATCCAAGGTTTCATGGCTGGCAGCGCATGTACCTTGAGCGAGGCCGTCTCTGTCGCAAGTTCGTCTAGCCTGCCAGGCTGTGACTTCGCCGTCCTTACAAGGGCGCTCATCAACTCGCTCTCGTCCTTCCCTCCACCATTGCCACTGAGATAGAGGGCGCCAGCAGCAACCAGGGCGCAGCATCCCATGAAGTACACAAGTAGGGGACGCCCGCCGCTGTTGGGCATGGTTTGAGCAGATCCGCGAATTTTCAAGTCTCACTCCGTCCTGATAGAAATTCTGTCAGGCAACCTCCTCTCTCCTCCTTCTACTCCACTGCAAGTTACGTTCCTCCCGGCCCACTAGAGCTCTCTTGTCGCCCACTGGCCCTCTCCTCTACTGACAAGTAGCATACTGTCGCGACAAGTTCTCCCTCAGTCCTGTGACTCGAGAAACTCACCCGGCGCTCTAGCTAAGTTGAGCAACTTGACATGAACGGGCAGCCATTGATCGGGCCCCTCGCTCGCTCGAAATAGAACGAGTCAAACCCGTTGACTTCTTTTTAACTCGGTTGGGACCTCCGGAGAGCTTCCGAAGTCCGGCGGACCGATCGGGCTCACTTGAATTCAAAGGGACATGGGGGGGATGGCAGAGGCCTGTTCGGATCGCGACTACCTCACTATAGGGGTTTTACTTAGTCTCATCATATAATAATCTCACAGCTCTAGTATGGGGTCACTGCTGTCCTCAGGCGCTTCCTGAGCAGCTTCCTGAGGCGGCAGCGAAGTGGGTGAGGGGATGAGGGCGAGCAAGCGGCGTGGCAAAGTCAAGGCAGGAGCCTAGCGGACGTGGAAGGAGAGGAAAGAGGAAGCAGAGGAAGCAGAGGAAGGAGAGGAAGGAGAGAGAGCTTTAGCTGCTGAGCTTCCCTTGACCAACGAGAAGAGGCCTGCGCTTGCTCTCCTTGCTATCCTTGCACCGGTGAAGGAGCCTGTATGTACTGATTTGACGGGTACCGTTTTGGCCGACGAGAGGATGGCATCGATGCAAGGGCATCAGAGACTCCTCCTCCTCCTCCTCCTTGTCGTTGGTTGCAGCTTTGACTTCTCCATGGTGATCTCTCGATGAGAGTGGGAGGCTGGTGACCTCTCTGACCTAATGTTGTGCCCAGGCCAAGAAACGAGAGAATGAGGACATGAAAACAATCGATGCCATGTTGAGGAGGATCCATGGCTTGACTCGTGGGATCAAGAGTCACACGAAGAAAGCTCACTCATGTGAGGCTTCGTTCTTCTCTTCCTCATCTCTCACGCAGAAGATACAGACTCGAAGCAAATCGAGGGAGCCAAACATCGAGTGCGAGGTCAGCAGAACCTCTCTTGACTTGTACAACCCTGATCCGCGTTCTCTCTCCTCCAGCGGCTCGTGTGAGCACGAAGAACGCACAGATCAGACATCATGTGAACAAGGCGCTGCAGGTCCGGACCCTTGAAAGTCACGGTCCTTACTGAGTTTGAGTTGTGCAGGAAGCTGAGAACGCCGAGAAAGCGCTCAAGAACAGCGACAAGAAGAAGCGATCGCAGTCCTCGCTGCAGGATGATGTGCAGACACCTCTCGGTGCTCGGGGCGCTCAGGTTCACTCCTTGTGCAGGCTAAGAGGAAGATGATCGCGCAGAAGATGAAGATGCTGCAGAAACAGATCTCTGATGACTTCTCCTCGGTACGTCCTGACGTGTGTCGAGGGAGCCTTGACCTGCGGATGGGCAGGTGACAGCGTTTGGCAATAAGGCTGGGTACCTCCCTCCGATCAAGATGCCCAAGATATGAGGAAGGAAAGGAGATGGCAGAGAAAGGATGGCGAGGGAGAGGGCACATGAATTCTTTTAGATCATGTATTTACAGAGTAATAATCAAGTTATTCTACAAAAACTCAAGAGCTCCTGCACTCTCCACACTACCAAAACTGACAGGAGGCCCATCGACCAATTCAGCAGCTTGCATGCTTGCGCCATCCCAGACGACGCGAGAGCTCGGTCATGATCAGCTTCTTCTGCTTCTTGACTCCCGCAAGAATGTCGCTGTTCTCCTCCAGCCTCCTCAGCAGGTACGGCATCACCTCCTTGACGGGGCCATACGGGAGGTACTTGTACACGTTGAAGTGCTTCTTGCCAAGAGCGAAGGAAACATGGTCGCACATTCCCTGCAGCTGACCGAAGTAGATCCCACTCTGAGCCGGAGAGATCTCCATCTGATTCATCTTCTCAGCAGCCTTGAGAATCGACTCCTCGTTGTGGGAGGCGATCATGATGGCAAGCTTCTTGCGACGTTCAGTCTCCTCCTCCGTCTCAGCCTTGAAGGTCTCAGGATCCATCTGACCCTTCCTCGAGATGAGGAAATCCACCACAGCATCAAAGTTCTTGTGGGTTGCCTCGATGTTGGGATGGATGGGATCGGGGTAGCCCTGCTCAGCTGCTAGCTTTCTCTCTTGGTGCATGTAGGCTCCCCTGACAACCTTTGCAGCAAAGACAAACCCGTAGCGTTCAGCACGCTGGACGTCCAGCTTCACACGATCGAAGGAGTCGACCAAGTAGCACTGATATGTGTTGAAGATGACAGGATTCTCATGATTGTGACGTCTCATGAGGACGAGGGCAAGATGATCAATCGCGGGTTGCATGTAGCTCTGCTCAGCATCAACCAGAAGCTTGACACCCTTGAGCTCAGCATATGCTGCGAGCTTCTCTAACCTGTCCAGCATCGTCTGGTACTGGTAACACTCCTCATCATCTAGCGAGCGGAACTGTGGTCCTTGCAGGTGCTTGAACGAGCTGGTGAAGATCAAGGAGAACTTTGGATCGGAAGGCCAAAGTGAGTCCATCCAGTCAGTGACGTCCACCATTGAGTCTTTGTTGGCGTCAATAGACTGATAGATAGAGCACAGCTCCTCGTGTGACAGATTCGAGCCAGCTTTCGACAAACCCTTGATGAATTCCTCCTGCGTGAGAAGACCATTGCCGTCGTCATCCAGACGGGCGAACGTCTGGCGCAGCCATGTCAAGATTGAGCTGATCCTGCTCAACATCTCCGGCCTTCCCATTCCTGTGAGCTTTACAGCCGTGAAGCCCTCCTTGCCACCTGACGCAGAGACTTCCGAGGCAGCATCGATGGCATCCATAATGATGCGAGCATTTCCCTCAAACTGTTGCTCCATGGCCTCAGCAGAAGCGCTCATCCCTGGCCTTGCCTCTGGGGTGTGAGCAACATCAGCCTCAGCGGCATAGTCAAGGATGGCTCCGATGCCATGCACTCCAAGCTTCTGCACAACCGGCTTAAGGTCGCCAGAGCTTTCCCCTCCACAGAAGTGCTTGAAGAAAGACGCCCTCACGACAGCATCGGGGATCCCATGCCCGAGCACCTTGGTTGCGTAAGAGTACATGTCCTTGGCATTCTTGACCAGCGGCTGAATGGAGCACACTTGAAAGATGGCAGAGGCAAGAGCGAGCTCATAGCTGCTCTTGCATGCGAGGCTCTGGGTTGTATCCTCAAAGTTCAACTTCCAGTCATTCATCGGTCTGATATGCTCAACATGCTGGGCAGTGACCACTGGGATAGCGGAAGTGCTCTTGGAGCGAGCGCTCTTGTCGTGAGGGGAAGCATCGGACGCTTTCGCCAACCGAATCACATGCTTCCCGAGCTGTTTGCCATCCAAACGTTTCACACCGGAGATCACATAGCCTCTGGAGTGAAGCATCAAACACTTGAGATGTCTCTGTGAAGTATGTGCTGAGAAGCTGCCTCCTGTTTGTTCGCTCTTGCTTCCAAGCTCCTCTCGTGTACTCGCGTTCTCCCTTCCGTCTCCTCCTATATAGAGACCTAACGTCCCCTTCCACCCCCCATACCCACCATGGAACCAGTGGTCTAAACTGGGGTGGGTGGAATTGGCCATTTGGGGTGGGGTACCACCCAAGTTGCAGTCACTACCTTCAGTCCATTGACCCACCCTTTTGAATATCCACCCACAAAAATCCAGTACCCTACCCTTAGCATTGTCACCTGCTTTGAAAATCAGCGATTGGCATTTATAGTAAGGAAAGGAGCGAGAATCGTTCTGATATCTTCCAATTCAAGAAGGTATACTATCAAGCCTCCTCTTTGAAGGAAGCAATTCCTTTGTCTTCCACTACCCCTACCCTATTAGTTATATACCCATCGCACACAATACACAAGTGTGTTGGACACACCCCTTTATTCTCGGGTGCAAATAACCCTACCCTTCCAAGTTCCGTTATATTAAGGGTAGGGGGTCATGAATCGGGGGAGTTTGTTGGGTAAGATGGGTGGTGTCATCCCTCACAGCTGTCCTTAGAACGGGGGATGGAATCCCTGGTGGGGTGGTAGAACCAGAGGATTTCAGCCTATCAAGAGGGGTGCTCAACTGGGAATTGATGGGTATATTTTTGGAGGGTGGGGTGCTTTCCACCATGGGGTTCTGAGAGGTAAAGTTGTTCAATGAATCTCTCTCAGGTGGGTAGTTTCATGACCCCTACCCCCATTCACATATCAGATGTTAGAATATGATTCTTGGACTCAACTTCTTCTTTTAAATTTCAAAATTTACAAATACTTTCGGTGAAAAACTCCAAATTTGGACAGGAAATCATTAAAATTGACATCATGTTGGAGCTGCACCCCATCTTTGAGATACCTCACCCCTCTCTTTCAGGCGTCTCCACACGACAGTTTCAGGTACATAACTTGGGGAATAATATCAGCCTTAAAGGAAAAGTGACGGGGTCAGTATACCATGTACCCCACCCCTGTCTAAAGAGTTTCATTAGAGATTGCTAGGTCCAAATTCACATTTCGATTCTCGAAGGGGGTGGGTAGTCTAAATGGGGAATCCAGAAGGCTCTCGAAGCCTTGAGGTAGTGGCCCTCCTCCCTCCCCGAGTCTCCTGACCCTCCCCCAGTTTTACATTCTCCAACTCATCCCCACCCCCTCATGGAATTTCATGTCCATCTACTACCCGTGCTGCTTCTGAAACGCTGTCATGACCCCACAGGACCAGGTAACTTCTTTGGGTACTCCTGTGTTGCAATTGTACCTCGCAAGCCCATCAGGACCCCTACCACCCCTCCAACCATCCTGAGGAAATGTACCCCCTTTTGCACCAACGTTTCATATTTCCCCAACTTTTACCTGTTGCTCCCCAACTTGTACCCCCACCCACTCGGAATTTTTCCTCCGGATGACCTATCACCCTGCTATTTTACTAGAAGGAACTCATATCTTGTACCGGTACTTCATACCACCCCCTGACCTCCGAACGGCCTCTTCTTCACCCCACTTTATCCCCGTCAACTCGTGACCGGCCCCCTGACAGCCCCGACCTTGAATCCCCACCCCAGATCCCTGGCCCCGAAAGGCAGCGAATTGGTGTGCATGCACTTATCAGTATAATTTATGTTTCTGTCTTTTCTCAATTACTAGGAAATCACAGAGGCGAGCTTGAACCAGCCCTGACGAGACAGCAATGTTGCCATCATACAACAAAACCTTGCTGTCCTTTCCCACTTTGATAAAAATGGACCGAGGCGGGCTGGAAATGGGTTGTACGGAGGAGTCGCAATGCTGGACCAGTGACTAGGCGCGGAGATGAGAGAGAGGGTGAGAGCATGGCGGTCAGACTATGCGGACCTCAACCTTACCCTTCTGCCAGCGACCAGACACATCCAGCAAGGAGCCTGAACACAAGCCTCTGCCGAGGAAGCAGGTTCGGAAGGCCATGATGGTGATGGAAGCTTGACCCTTGTGTCAAGCGTGCGCGAGAAGACGTGTTGAGAGACAAGCAGATCCTTATCGCGGTCGCACTTCCTCTCGTATGTATTCATGCCCTTCATCGTTCTCACTTCTCTACTGATCCGCTGCTGCGCCGCTCGTCCAGGTCTTGTTAGTGGTCACAGTTGCAATCTACCGATGGCTGTACTTCGAGCCTCGGGTCTCGGGGCCTTGCCAAGGTCATTCGCCTTGTGAGGGCGCGAGGAGGATGATCATTATGAAGGCATCTGCGACATTACTGCTGACATGCTCGAACGCTCGAGGGCACCCTGCAGACCTGTTGACCCCGAGAAGGTGGGAGGGAGCAGGCGCGGTAGTTCCTGACGTTGAAGTTCCAGCTGTTCTTCCTGCACATCCCCAAGACGGGAGGGACGACGATGAAGGAAGGGATCATGCTGTCTTGTCAACGTGGCTGAAAGTCCAGCAGAGCTTGCTGAAGGCGGTCAAGCCGAGGAAGGGATGGTAGAGCTGGCGGGCGCATGACGTTGAGATTATCTGAAATTGCGCAGGGAGATGGTGGAGATGAGCGAGTGGAGAGATGCTGTTCCGCAGGGAGTCGTGTGGCTGCCTCTGGACCAGGTGAGGGGACGACGTGCGTTGATTGTCGTCTCATCCGCCTCCTTGGAGATCGATCGTGTGCGTCCGGATGCATATGAGAAGATGTACAGAGAATACCTTGAGGTACGTCACCGTCCTTCAGGGTTTCCATCATCAACAGGAACTTTTCTGCAGTCTTTGATCAACTCAACAACCAATCATCGACAGCTTCTGTTCGGGTTTGTCTTGTCATGGTCCAAAGCTCCTCCCGAGCGTGCACCAGGCATGTTTTCTTCGAACCGCGCGCTCTGGAGGGGAAGGGTCAAGAGGCCGGAGACGGACGGCCGTCGGAGGTGTCTTCTCTCTTGTGTGCCGCAGCTTGTCATTGCGCTGATGAGGATGCAGCAGAGCTCTCGCAAGAAAGTCGTCTTCGCTACCGTCTTGCGACACCCCATACTGCGTCTGGCCAGTCAGGTTGGTCGGCCCCTCGATGCGCAACAACTGAATCCTTGGGTTCCTCCAGTACGATTTCGATCGCGTGCAAGCCAAGTCGAAAGTCTACCAGGTGAGGGGCAGCACGCGGAGGTGAAGGTGACAGGAGGACAGGAGCAAGTAAGAAGGAGCAAAGGGGTTCAGCCGTTCTTGGACTGTGCAAGGCAAGCGCGAGGGGGTTGAGGTGGGGGCTGAGGAGGAAGGGCATGTGCAGGAACGAGACCTGTCGATCGATCAATGAGTTCGGCCGCTGGTGCAATTTACAGGTCCTCTGCTCAGTGGCGGTGAGCTCGGGGGTAGACTGAAGGCCTGGTGGTGCAGACGAGATATTTCTGCGGGTTCTCAGGAGATTGCAAGTCGGACGAGTCGGGGGGGCCAACGGAGCAGATGGTGAAGAGAGCGCGGGAGAACATGATGAGATCGTTCAAGGTGGGAGGGGGAGGCAACGGCTGCAGCTGATGCTGACTCTTACAGTTCATCGGGATCCTTGAGGACTGGAACTCGACTGTCCGAGTGCTGGAGGTGGAGAGGAGGAGGAGAGGGAGTCTGAGGTGATAAGAAGCTTGCAAGGCTGTCCTGCCGACCCTTGCGGAAGGGATTTCTGATGCCTCGAGAGGGGGAGATGAGAAGCATTGTGCCAAGAGGTCAGTGAGGAGGCGGTGAGGATGAAGAGGAAGCAAAGAGCGCTGAGGGTTTGAAAACAGTTGGTTTGGACTTTCCCGGACGAGTTGTCAGGGTGTGAAGAACAGAAACGATAAGCGAGATCGCTCTGTTGAGGAGAAGATCATACAAGAAGACGTTTTACCTGAGCTCAGGTATCGTCCTCCTGCTGTCTACCTGTTTATCTCTTCCGCTGCTGAGGTTCAAGCTGAAGGAAGCTATGCTGGGGGGACCTGGAACTGTACGAGCTTGCCAGGCGAAGACTCAAAGAGCAGGCAAAAGAATGCCTTGAATGAAGCTACTCTCCTCCTCTCCTCTCCTCTCCTCCTCTCCTTCCTTCTTCATCTTCTCCTTACTCACACTCTTCTCTCCCCTCGTTCCTCACATACCCACGAGATTGTCGTCGTAGATCAGAACCTGCGAACGGATCAGGAGAGGAGGAGGAGCAGGAGGCCCGAAGTTTACAGCCATCTCTTCCTTGATGTGCGGAAACTGTCACACATGCGCGTCATGGCATGCCGGAGAACGACTAGACCCCCTCACCTGCCCCTCTTTCTCTGCGTTCCAAAGTTTGAGCAAGAGGTCGCCAAGGGCGCGCAGCTTCATGATGCTGCTGTAGTTGTCTCCTGCCCCCTCCTGCTCCAACCTCGACTGCCAGTCCTTGATCTCTTGGGCAAACTCCTGCCGGATCGCCTGCGAGTTGCTTTCGAGCTGCCAAGACTGCAGGATCTCAGTGAAGAACACCTGAGAAAGGAGAGTGAACCAGCTTTAAGGAAGAGGAGCGAGGAGCAAGTACCTCCTGGGGAACCAACTGGTCATTGACTTCTAGCTTCCCTCCTCCTCCTTCGCTTCCATGTCTTGAGTCGACGAGCATCCGCCATGACAGGAACGAGTCTTCAAGGTAATGATGACGTTTCACGTGCAGCAATCTCTCAAGGAGGGAGAGATTTTCTCTCCTCCTGTCCGCCGCCTCCACCAGGCTGTCGAAGTGACGCTCGGCAAGGAGCCTCTCCGTCTTCCTCAGCAGAAAACTCGCAAGTCTCTCCATCTGACTCGACATCATCGTGTCCGTCTCATCTGATGAAATCGTAAGAGAAAATCAAACAACATTGCGCTACCTGAGAGACCATTTCCAGAACTTTCATCTACTTGCCTGAAACTCCCTTGAGACCAACCAAGTAACTCCTGTACAAATTTTATGAAACGAAACAACCTCATAACAAGTACTCACTCGTCTACGACCCGACCCATATGAAGCGTCTTGGTAATTGACATGCCTTGACTGCAACACTCGCTCATAAGACTCAACCTCGCAAAATAAAATCCAGCCCCCGAGCGCCCTCGCTGCTCTCTCCTGCAGCCACCGCCTTCCTGCCCGCTCGCATGCCCCCCGCAGCCTCTTGCTCTCCTTCGTCCTCTCCTTCCACCCTTCCATCGCCTCTGCCGCGCTCCTGCTCTTCATCCGCCTTACTGCACGCCCCATCACCCCTCGCTTCCTCGACGCCTCGCCCGCTGCCTCCCTCCAGCCCCCGAGCGCCCTCGCTGCTCTCTCCTGCAGCCACCGCCTTCCTGCCCGCTCGCATGCCCCCCGCAGCCTCTTGCTCTCCTTCGTCCTCTCCTTCCACCCTTCCATCGCCTCTGCCGCGCTCCTGCTCTTCATCCGCCTTACTGCACGCCCCATCACCCCTCGCTTCCTCGACGCCTCGCCCGCTGCCTCCCTCCAGCCCCCGAGCGCCCTCGCTGCTCTCTCCTGCAGCCACCGCCTTCCTGCCCGCTCGCATGCCCCCAACAGCCTCTTGCTCTCCTTCGTCCTCTCCTTCCACCCTTCCATCGCCTCTGCCGCGCTCCTGCTCTTCATCCGCCTTACTGCACGCCCCATCACCCCTCGCTTCCTCGACGCCTCGCCCGCTGCCTCTCTCCAGCCCCCGAGCGCCCTCGCTGCTCTCTCCTGCAGCCACCGCCTTCCTGCCCGCTCGCATGCCCCCCGCAGCCTCTTGCTCTCCTTCGTCCTCTCCTTCCACCCTTCCATCGCCTCTGCCGCGCTCCTGCTCTTCATCCGCCTTACTGCACGCCCCATCACCCCTCGCTTCCTCGACGCCTCGCCCGCTGCCTCTCTCCAGCCCCCGAGCGCCCTCGCTGCTCTCTCCTGCAGCCACCGCCTTCCTGCCCGCTCGCATGCCCCCCGCAGCCTCTTGCTTTCTTTTGCCCTGCGTATCCACCATTGAAATGTGGATTCGGGCTGAACTTTACTTGTACGCGTTTTGTATCTTGCGAGCATTTCAGTCATTTTTCCCAGTGTGTGTTCTCGTCTGCTGCAAGTTTTGCAATCATGCTTTTGCTCATACAGCGGATCTTGTATGTGAGGATGACTTGTTTCCGGATGCAAATCTCTGGCAGTTGATGGACTATCATGTTGCAGTTTATGCATGTCAAACATGCTTTTTCTGCCTGCAAGCTCCTGCTCTTTCCGTTCGAGTCTCCTCCTTGCCAGCACCACGTCCGCCTGCCATGTCAGTCGCCTGAGTCTCACAGCGCATGAACCAACCTTCACTCACCATGGAGTGCAGCTGCTCTCGCTTCTGGACCTCCTCCTGCCTCCTCAGCTCGTTCTTCACTTGTGCGACCAGGTCCAGCATCGTCCTCTTGAATCTCTTGACACTCTCCGCCACCTCACCCCAGCGCGCATCCTCCGCCGCCATGAGGTTGGACCAGATGCTAAGGCACTCCTGGATCTCATCGAGACTGACTTGATCGTCCCTGCTGCTGGCGCGATGCTTCACTGCGAGGATCCGCGTAAGCAGGCGCAACAAAAAGAGCAGAGGGCTGTTACGGCAGGTGAAGAGCTCAAACATCCTCCTCCTCAGCCCCAGCTTCCCACTCTCCATCCTCTGCAGGCAGACCTCTCTCACTCGTCCCTGCCACCAACAGTCAGGAAGGCTTCGACACGATCATGCTCACAACCGTGAACGGCTCTGCCACGGAGATCTCAACATGCGACCCAGGAACATCGTCACCAAGCATCAAGGCATGAAGGTCAGGGAGGTCAAAGGCACGACCCTCCACCCTCACTATCCTAGCGGGAGAGGCGTCATCATGAGAGCTAGGACGCCTGCTGCTGCTACCTGTCTCCCGCCCTCAGAAGTCTGTGGGCTGACCCTCCGACCAGCGTGTTGTCTACCACGTCGTCCTTGAGCATGAGACCAAAAGTGGTCCTCGCCTTCATCGGGTTATCCATGGAGCACGTCTCGTCCTTGAGCGTTGTGATCTCGAAACGTTGTATGTAGTCTTCTATCAGGCAGCACGCCCGCAGCATGGTCGAGCTGCTGCGCACACAACTGGCAAGTCATGGGTCAGTGATCCACGCTGACATCGATGGAGACTCAGCACGCTTGACCGGAGGAGCAACATGGGCATCAGAAGCATGAAAGAGAGGAGGTACACATTGACTGCAGGAGCATCTCCTTCTCTACGACTCTACGAGAGGAGGTACACATTGACTGCAAGAGCATCTCCTTCTCTACGACTCTACGAGCCAGTCTCGTTTCGGAAGTTCGCCCTCATGCCAGGTGTACTCCATTCCGACATACGAGTCGCTCCGAGATCCACCCCGTCTTTGATCAAAGTACCCCCCTTTCAGAGCTTCACTATACCGGTAGTCAATGCCTTTCAACCCCTTCGTTTCGGAACCTTTTTGACCGTCCGATGATCCGACGCACTGACCCGGACTGAAACCACGTATGATGGCTGACTGCATCGCCGTGAGAACTTCGCCGGAACTTCTGGAACCGCCGGGCTCGGTCACTTTCGCGTTTACTCAAAGTTAAGTTAAACTCAATCAGCACGTGCAGGCCGCATACGGCGAGAAGAGAAAAGAGAGCGAGAACCAACCCTCATCCTGCCTACGGAGGCTGCTTGAAACTGCTGTCCCCCACTGAACTTAACTTTCAATCATCAAGTTTCCCGACTCGGCACTGTGACTTTCATAATTCCAGGTACTACGGTCGCTCGGAACCGATCGGACGGCGGGCCGGCCCGGGCCCGGTGGCGAGCCTCCGAGCCTGAGGCCCGGCGGAGTGCCAGCCGCTTCCGCCGGAGGTCGGTCATCTGAGGCGAGCTCGAACTGGACCGTATGGGACTAGTCACGCCAGGCATGGTGGTGCCTGCTGGCAGCATGTCGGGAACCTGGTGAGAGAGGAGGCGCGACATGGAGGAAGCACGAGGAGCGAGCGGCAAAAGACATGCCAGACATGCCTTGAGCCGCTTGCTGCACCAAGAGCGTGCGCTGTCTATGTTTCTAAGTCCTTGTTTCTTCTTCTTTCTGTCATAAATCGATGACATGGCTGACGGTAGCTTGCTAGGATGGCATTTGCTCTATGCCCCCGTGGGCTGGCTGCAGGACATATCCTCTCACAAAGTACTGCATTTCACAGAAGTTGGTTTGAGGTTGAACCGTCCTGTGTGCGGTGCTATGAAGGTTACCATGCACTAGGTTCGACAAGACAGAGCCATGTCGCACACATGTCGGAGCAGACCAAGTGAGTTCAAAGCAAGGCAAGGAGGGAGAGGAAGAGTTGATTTGTCTTCAGTCTCAAGTGTCGAAGGGCTTTCAATGCAAAGACAAAAATTCAGAGAAAGGCGTTCGAAACCATCGTTGCCATTAGCACGGAGTGTAAACCGGTTTTTGAGACTTCCGGCCACTGAGATTTTCATTGCGTTCACGGTCATGGTCTCTATCACATGATATGCATTACTGAATGGGTCGAGCTCAGGTACTTGTGGGATGTTTCGTTCTGGCAGAGCAAACTGTGTCACTAGACTATCAATCGCGAATACGGTTGAATCAGGCTAGTTCATTGCCATGAGTACCACGTGCTTTGTGACATGGTGCGGCCAGGTAGAGGATGTGGTGAACAAACTTTTCATTACCGAATACGTACTGAGATGGTATTCAAGAAACTTCAAGCTGAGGTTAGTCAGCAAAGATATTGTCATCTCCATCAACATCACCACAGATATCTGCTGAAATGGGAGATGGTTGTCGATTTCATCTCATTCGTTCCGTACACCCTGCGCGCCTTAGGATTGGGAAATTTCACTGGGTTCACGTTTTTGCGTCTTCTGCGCGTTCTGCGACTTCAGAGGCAACGGGAGGACATCAGGCTTCCCTTGATTGACTTGCAAGGGCAACAGGTATCTCAAGGACGACAGGAGCTTTAAGAGGCTGTATCAGCCGTTTTTGCCGAAGAACTTTGAGATTCAACCCTATCAGCTCGAGGTGAAAATACATCATTTCACTGTGACGATCCGGAAACGAAAGTCTGCAGTTTCTTCGCGTCGGAAGCACCGTTTGGACAACACTTTTCATTGCAACCGGAATGTTCTACTCTGTTGAGGTCAGACCATCTGAAATCCATCTGAGACATTTGGTTTTGACTGCAAGGTATTCACAGGCACCATACAACCCTGCTTTGTATCTCGCATTTCGTCACCATCTTCAGCCTAATGCTGTTTCAGAGAGAATTTCTTCACGTCCTTTTACTTTGCAGTCACCACTTTGACAACGGTCAGTGACATGATACTGTACATACGATCCAACCAACAGGAATCAACAGGTTGGTTTTGGAGATATCACGCCGCAAACTCCTGCTGGAAGAGCAGTGGTGGCTGGTGGGATATTGGTCGGTGCAACTATCATTCCCTATCAGCTCACAAAACTTGCGATTGCATTGCAGAAAGCAAATTTGGATGGAGAAAAGAGTGAGATGTTCTGCTGATTTGCAAGAGAAGTTGTGAGGTTTTTGTAGGTACGTATAAATGCCCAAGATGCTTCGAGAAAAAGCATCTGCCTGGTGCAAACTACTGTTGGAGGTACGTTCAAGAAGGTCAATTCAAAGTCATTCATGTTCTGACATATGCATGTGCGAAATTAGGTGTGGAAGTACGGTTTTCTCGACGTATACCAAGGCCAACGATAACAAAGAGTCTCTCGCGCTACTTACTGTCTCTGAAGATAGCGAGGTGAGCTTGGTATGTGCTTTTGACTTATGGAATATTCAAGCTGGAACCATTTAGGAAGACTTTTACACATAGTTCCTCGACGTTCCTTTAAGACTTGAGCCAAGATGTAACGATGGTCAGATTGCTTTGTAAATAAAGAATTCACAAACGGTTGATCCTTTGCCCGAGTTTGAGAATTTAAGACCCTTCTTGTTTTGAGCACACGCAAAGTTGATCGCAGTCGCTCCTGGTGTCGTATTCAGTGAGAGTACAAGTCGACATGGCTCCTGCAATGCTGCTCATTGTGTTTTCTCCTTCAGTTCAACTCTTCCTCTTCATATCATCGTCAGGCTCCATGGCGCATCTCTGTTCCTCCTCTCCATTCGCTCGCCCCAGGGATGTACAGAAGAGTAGGTCCTTTCCACGTTTGACTGGCGTCCCTCCCCACCACCCCTGCCCCATCGTCACATCCTACCAGTTGCTCGTCAAAACTGGGGGGTGGTCAGGGGCTTTGCAACAACTATTTTAGCGATCAAGGAGCATCGAAAACCCCGTACAAAAAGTCGCAGCAATCTCGCTATTCTGGTACTAAGTGAAGTACCAGTTCTCAAGTAGTACTGATATTTCCGTGACTATCATTTTAATTTATCTAGTACGCTTCACTTTCCCCGCCTCCCCCCCGTCCTCCACGCCCTCAGGCGCCGTAGCTCCATGGAGGTCGTCGGGTCAATGCCGATGAGCAAGCGAAGGAAGAAATGACAGGAAATATCATCACCCCAGTCTTCTTTATTCAATTCAACATGTGACGAGACAAAACAGCAGGTAGCCAAAGTATTTCAAGAATTCCAGTTCACTGCGCATCGAAAATCAAATTGTACTGGCATTCGGACGCTAAATCAGAGATCGAAACCTGAATGGCTTTGCCCTTCACGCATAGAATGTAGATGATTGATTCCATGAAAATATTCTTTCATATCTGCGAGTGGATTCATGACTGACAGTGGCAGTCAGAAGCAGAGATCAAAAATACATGATCTGCAAAACTATCAAAGTTTCACCGGGTTAGCTTGCAGTCGTTGTAAAGCGAATGGAGTCGAATGCGACTTGCTAAAACCTTGTTCGACTTGTATCTCACAGGGAGTCGATAATGAGTGCTCCGATGGTGATAGCTATTCTCCAACCTGTTACGACGATGACCAAAGCACTATGCTTGCTTCTATCACCAAAATGGAGCATGACGACGAAGACACAGCCAACGACGAGAAAGGTCTGCAAGGTCATGATGTGCACCTAAAAGATTACAGAATGGGAAGTGCACGAGCTGTATCACCAGATGCTTTGTTGAAGGCTTTGATGAATTTCGACTACAAGGCTGAACAAGAGAAAGCTGGTTTTGGTCTAGCAAAACGCAATGAAGGCTCGACATCTTCCAATCAGCAACAAACTCCAAAAAGATATGATGACTTGGTTTTGCCCCCCCAAAATCCTTATGATTCTGCTGCAATGGCAGTAGACCTACCGGAGTACAGCCATTTGTCAGGGAAACGCTTCTCACAAACAGCTGATGGACAAACCGCTGTTCGTGACATGACAGCTGCAAGTGCAGCTGAAAATTCGCTTTTAGCTCAAAATTCAATCGTGAATCAAGAAAAGGAAACGCAGGGTCAAGAATTAAAGCCCCATGATAATCAGCAGGACGTGCAAGGAGCCAGCCATCTCACAGACTTAGACCAAGGTTTGATGTTCGTGCCTGGCGTCATGATATTTATGCTTTCCAGGTCCTCTTTCGAGAAAGAAGAAAAAGAAAAAACGACCCCTAGTAATTCAATGTCTTGATTCAAATAGGATTTTGAAGTATCTTTGCAGGAAGCTCCAAGACTTCCTTGCAGTCCTTTCGTGCTGTTTTCAAATAAGATCAGGCAGTCTGTGAAAGATGAGAACCCTGGCATTGAGTTTTTAGAGATGGGACGAAAAATAGGAGAGAAATGGAGAGCACTTGACAGTGAAGAACGAAAAAAGTTTGAAGAAGAAGCAGGAGTCTTGAGGTTATCTTACTTAGAAAAGAAAAAGCAATGGGAAAACCAAAATAAAAGGTAAAAATATTGAGGGCTGCAGGACAAACATTCTTCCACAGCGGTGTTGGAACGAAATGGCACTGCTCTAACAGGTCCTCTGATAGTCTCTGATATGGCGCGCGTCATCCACTTGGAATATAAAAGTTGAGCGGCTGAGCGCAAAAAGGATTCGCGCTCCCGGCAGGGCTCGAACCTGCGACCTAACGGTTAACAGCCGTTCGCTCTGACCGACTGAGCTACGGAAGCTTACGAGGCAGCGCTCCATAGCCTTTATAAAATGGTGTCTATCTTTCATCCTGCTCCTGCTCCTGCTCCTGCTCCTGCTCCTGCTCCTGCTCCTGCTCCTGCTCCTGCTCCTGCTCCTGCTCCTGCTCCTGCTCCTGCTCCTGCTCCTGCTCCTGCTCCTGCTCCTGCTCCTGCTCCTGCTCCTGCTCCTGCTCCTGCTCCTGCTGCTGCTGCTGCTGCTGCTGCTGCTGCTGCTGCTGCTGCTGCTGCTGCTCCTGCTCCTGCTCCTGCTCCTGCTGCTGCTCCTGCTCCATCTCACTCAGTCATCCCTATGCATCTTCTACTTCCTCCACATCTTCTGTTCTTTCTCTTCACTTTAGATTCTAAACATCCTTCCCGGCAGGTTGTGGATGGTTGAAAGGCATGGAGTCGGCGAGGAAACATTGGCATGTCGTGCTGTTCCTTGTCTTGGTATGGGCAGACAAAAGAGCTAGCGGCAGGCAGCAGAGAGCTGCGTCGAGCGATGATGGGAATATCCGCCTCTTGCACCCTAAGGTTTCTCATCTGCTTGTATGTATGTTGTCCTCACTGGATTGATCGATGGACGGACAGGAGGGTCAAATGTTTCCAGCAGGATGGATTGAGATCGTCTGGGCATGGAGGACGTCGGAGGAGACGAACCAGACGGTTGCGATCATCGTGGACGACAGGTCAGGAGCATGCTCCTGTGTCGCTTGTCTCACGTGCCTCCTTGTTCGGAAGAGTTGAAGCTGTTGCTGAAGCGAAGGAGATGCGGTGCGATGGGCTCGGCGATGAGTCCTGCTCTTGGATCGCTCACTCTCGTTGCAGGTCAAGGATTAGGATCCCTCCCGGGGCTCACACCATCGGGCTGCGGGCGGTCTGACCTCTCTTGCTGTCCTGTGAAGTTTTGAGGTGCCTGCAGCATCCCCATGGTGAGTCAGGAACGATGAGCGATGTGTGTTCGGTCGAGGCGTTGGAGGTGACCAGGGCCGGGCTCAAGATCATGGAGCCCATACCTGGGCAGGTTTCCTCCCCCTCCGTCCTCTTCTCTACAAGTTGGTTGACTTGAAAGGATCAGGTGCTGGTGAACGAAGAAATTCGGTTGATCTTCCAGGGTCAGGAGGAGAAGGAGCATGTAGTTACTGTTCTCACCTCCTCCTCCTTCAGAGTCTCTTGGTTCGAGCCGATTCTCGCACTTGTTCATCTTCTGGAACAACGAGCTGGTGCTGTCTTGATGTTTCTTGGCGCTTCCTCTCACTTGCAGGCTCAGGCGCACATGAACAATCACTCGTGCCTCCATGTAGACACATGCGAGACCAAAACACGCTCGTAAGCTCTGACAGCTGGAGGAAGAGGAAGAAGAGGAGGAGGAGGTGGTGGTGGTGGACAAAGAGGACAAGGACAAGGACGAGGACGAGGACGAGGACGAGGACGAGGACGAGGACGAGGACGAGGACGAGGACGAGGACGAGGACGAGGACGAGGACGAGGACGAGGACGAGGACGAGGACGAAGAGGACGAAGAGGAAGAGGACGAGGACGAGGACGAGGAGGACGAGGAGGATGCGCGGGCATGTTCTGATCCCTGTCCTCAGGATCTTCTTTCCAAAGGAAATGGTCGGTGAAGGCCGGCACAGGATCAAGGTTTCATTGGTTGTCTGGGATACGTGGAACGACGACTCGTTGCCTGGGGGGCTTCACGTGGAGGGTTACGAGTATGCTGTGCTGTCAGCTTGCTCCGCGGGAGTCGTACACACTGGAAGCTCGACATGCTCGTCATGGAGGTGGTGCAGCAGGCAGCAGGACGAGCGCAGGGAGAGGGCAGGCGTCGCGGAGGTCCTGGAGATCGAGCTGGACTTGTTCGTCAATATGGATGTGGTGGGAGCGAACAGGAGGGAGGGTGGGAGGAGGCTGATGGCAGCTGTGCTGTTAGGATGAAGCTCTCTGGTCGTTAGCACACCACCCTTCCCGTCGCTCTCGCGTGAGCTCACCAAACTTGAGTCTTCTGCTCCCCTTTCCTGTTCTCTTGCCTTCTGGCCTGTGCTCTCCTCTCCTCTCCTCTCCTCTCCTCTCCTCTCCTCTCCTCTCCTCTCCTCTCCTCTCCTCTCCTCTCCTCTCCTCTCCTCTCCTCTCCTCTCCTCTCCTCTCCTCTCCTCTCCTCTCCTCTCCTCTCCTCTCCTCTCCTCTCCTCTCCTCTCCTCTCGTCATTCCGAATCCTTGCCTTGTAAACTTCATCTCGTGTCCAACCTCATCACGGGAGCAGGGCAGGGACGATGGCGGAGCTGCAGAGGCATGCGATAGGGGTCGAGCTGTGTTGGGAGGGGGGATAGGCCTTGGTTCCTTCGGTGGAGTGTGGGAGGAAAGAGGATGGAGGGGCGCGCGGGACGGGAGCATGGCGCCGGGAGACGCTGCGTACGTGAAGATCGTGCGACCGCGCACGGGTGAGGAGGGAAGCAGAAGCGCGAACAGGCTGAGCATGTGCAGGACATTCTGTGCGATGGTCGAAGAAGCAGCTGAATGTGGAGTTTGAGATTTACTCGGATGAGGCACGTGCAGGAGGGGGAGGGGGAGGGGGAGGGGAGGAGGGGAAGGACGAGGATGAGGGCACTCAGAAGAC